TATTTTCCCTTAAATGGACCAGCATGGCCAGGCAACAATGCTCTAACAATGCAGTAGTGAAAATATTACCTGTTTTTTTATTAATTTTACCAAGATATCTACTGGATGAAACAGGGATGTCTACTCAAATGTGTGTATGCACTAAATATAAGATTTCTGGTCAGATTAAAAGAAAAAAATCATCCATTACTCTTATATGTTTTCCATATATTACAATTAAATAAGGCAAGAAATAAAAGTGATTCTCACTGTTACAGTGTATTTCTTGCCTTATTTAAATGTAATATACCGAAAAATATTCATGAATATGAAAGGATTATGATGAAAATAAGCAGACATAATGTTTGTAATTTATTCAATCAGACATGCCTAAAAGATAATTTTCTGCCTAAATACACAAATATATATATATATATATATATATATATATATAAATGAGAGAAAGAACAGATGGAGTAAAATTCCACTGTTCGTAGCATTTACTTTTAAAAAAAGTGCTCAATATAAAGTAGGACAATATATATATTGTTATTTTTATTATAAGAGATTATAATGAAAACTAAGATTGTACTTCTTCAGGCGATGGTAAGTCGCTGGCGATTAAATGATTTTAAATCCCCAGTTACTTACCATCACCTGAAGAAGTACAATCACAATATTGAAACATGAAAGCTTTTGTGTAGTAATTTCAACATGTTTTCATTATAATCTCTTATAATAAAAATAATATATATTTTGAACCCTTTATTTAATTTATGTGGATAGACTGTTCTCCTTCCACTGTTCATGTCTAGTTCTTGTTTTTATTTAGTATTGTTAGTTATTGCTTGCCAGTTTCCACTGAGTGCAAGTACACACTGCCCAAACCTGAGATTGGACTCACAATCACTATGTGACCAAATTCACAAACTGACAATTTGCTGTAGTAAAATTAGAGCCTTAAATTTAACCTTGACTGCTGATTAGGTTGCAATTGCTGCTGCAGTTGAAGACTCACTGTCATTTGTCTGTCTTTCTTTCTTTACTATCAGCTCCCATATTATATTCATTTCTATGCTAGGCCTACTAAGGAGATCCTCATAGCTTAATGCACTGATTCTTTCAGACGTCTAACTAGGTTTTGTAGTTCTTAGTAAGGCTTGTCTTTTCGCAATCCCTCCCAGCCACTGTTCTGCCATTCATTTATACAAGCTTGTTAGGTAGGTTACTTGCTGTCCCTCTTGCTGTCAATGTCCCGTGAGTGTCAAATTCTCCAAGTCCTCTTGTCTCATTATATAGCCTAGAAATTTCAACTGTCTCTTTCTGGTTCTTTGCTTTTATAAATGTCATTTTGGTGGCAGCAGCAGCAGATGATTGTAAGTATTCATAAAGGTTTTTACTATTCATATTCTCCAAGATTCTTTCAAGAAAAATGCCCTGGCTTCAAGTACAGCATAATCAATTTACTTACCTGTCATAGTTTTTTAAAAGTGGGTAGAAAAAGTAGCCTGCAACAGACGAAAACCTGTTTGGTGTTGCCTGTGGCTCTGGTTGTGTCCGTCCTTTAGCAAAGCGCCGAGTTTTGCTTTCAATTCTCTTCTGGACAATTTCTTGCCAATTGTAGACTTTCTTTTCTGGTTGAATCAGTTCGACTTTCACATCTGTCTGAGAAAGAGTCTCATTTCCAGATTTAGATTTCTGGGCATTTGGCTTGGCCAATTCCATAGCTGCTGTTCCAAGAACCTTGTTGGATATTTAAAAAAAAAAAAAAAAAAAAAAGTAGAAAATATATAGAAATTTTATACACAATATATATGTATATGTATGTATGTATATTGGTATGCATGTATACCACAGGTTGCCTTGTGGGTGAAATTGGGTAGACAGAACCCTTTGGGAGCCATCAATGGTTGTGCTAGCACAAACTCACAAGTAATCGTGACTGAGAGTTTGAATGTGCTGTTGATCACGCTAGATAATGCACTCTCTCCCAGAAACTGTAACTAAGGTCCACTCAGCATAGTTGCAGTATAAAGCACAGGTGTGTTCTGTGGGTGTTGAACAAACATAAATGTGCCTGAGCAGGCGTTTGCAGCAGGGATTAGCTATTATATATATATATATATATATATAAAAAATTCATTAATTATTCTTTTAAACACATATAAATTCAAAACAATAGATATTTTGTGGCTATTTAATGATTTTTTCCTTTAGTGTATGAATATTCTTTCATAAATGTGGTTGCTGTGTGGGGATGAATTGGCCCAAAGCCTTCACAAGAGTTGTTATCAGGGAGTGCATATGAGAAAAGAAAATTAATTGTATTTGAAGTAGTGGATTGCATTATCGTTTTTCGAAAGAGATGTTGGTTCAATTCTTTATGAAATGATTGCTAGAAAACATCCCCTCCCCAAATTTCTAAACAAATCCTACAGATGCATGATTTGTTCTTAACCAATAAAAATAGACCACTTTCCAGTCTCATCCGCCATATTTTTATTCTTTCTTCTCTTGAAGTCAGAACGCTACAATCACTTGACTGTATCCCTTTTGTGTGTGAACACAATTCTTTGTAAACTTTTTACCTTATTATTGTTGCTTTGCCTCATTTTGACTTGCATATATATATATATATATATATATATATATATATATATATATATATATATATATATGTTTATTTAGTATTATTTTACCCTGTTCTTTTTTCTTACATTTCTAATTGTTTATTGAGAACTTTGTCAATCCCATTTGTTCAGCATTTTGACAATTACACTTAACGTGGCTAATTACTCCACAAGAGCTGTTATTTTAGCAAACTCTTCAATATTTCAAGCTATACAAAAGTTAGTGTGGAAAGCATTTTATCACCAACAAAAATCTTTCACTTTTACTTACCTCAAGTATATCAAGACGCTGCCTGATGTTATAATTCCTGGCATAGATCTGTTCTGTTAAATACGTTGCAGACTGTAAAGGAAACAGAGTAAGTATATTAAAGTTAATTAAAATAATAGTTATTAATTTTTAATGAGTTTTTCAGTATATTTTTAATGCTTTTTATCATACTGCTCAAGTCATTTTTACATTCTACAATCTTTAACCAACACAGATTGAAAACATAGAAGATGAAACAAAAACTAAAAATTAATGACAATTCTTCATCTAAGAAAATGGGACAAGTTAAAACTTTTATATCTATTACTACTAGGCACATCTTTGAAGGTACTGTAAAGTTTAATGGCATGAAAAAAAATTAACAGCTTTGTGGGTAGTATGACGCTTGGCCCCGGGCCGGCTCAACTCCCGATGTGGGATCCGGTCTCCTCGGCTGATCGTGGATCGATCACTTCGAACGCACCTGCCCTACCCCACGCCAGTAAAAAGATCGAAGACAGGCCCGATCCGAATGGTCGACTGAGACCGAATATCACGGTTGCACCGGCCAGAGCAAGGTCACAAGAAAAAGAAATAAAAAGCGCAACTTGCTTAAAGAAAAAAAATATTTATATACTCTTAAAGTTGATTAGTGATGTTACTGAGTGTTCAACAGGCAAATGTTTCCCATGCAGTAACTAGCTACCCTTCCCGATTTATCGTAACGCACTGGTGGGTGTTGGTTTCAGATCAGTATCTTTGGAACAAGGCTTTAAGTCGGAGGTTTTCTACTTTCAGACGACAGGTCACATGGGAACAGGATTGGTCTTGTCTGTCAGCTCAGCTGCCTGGCGTGTCCCTTCAGTCTGCGACTCCTTATTTTTGAGCGTGTGTGCGTTGAACTCTCCTCGGCTTCTCATTTTATGGGGCCCAGTAAAAAGGGCTGGGTGGGCATGGTGTCTCTCTGATCGCCAGCATACCCCAACGACCAATCAGAAGGCTTCCTACAACCGTCCGAATGTGGGGGATGCCTCCTTTTCCCCAGAACTCTGTTGGCGCTCCGCCTCTCTGAGCCACTTGACCAAATAAATCTTCTCGCCACGATTCCGCTTGTTAGTGACGAAGCCCACTGGCCTTTTGAGTAGATCTCAACTTCAGCACCCGACGGCCACTTTTAACAAATAAAAATAATATTTCTTAATTAATTGTTCGGATGTCTGCCTGCGCCCGAGAAGTGTTAACATGACCGTCAAGTGTCTTTGTTTCACCTCACCGTGAACTTAATTGGCCGGTCCGACGAAATGGTACTTTTATAAATCCTATTCTAGCCAAAATTCACTCAAAAAGACAATTTGGGTAAATTTTAATTCCCGACAATCACTTTAGAAAGAAAAAAAAGGATATTTCCTAATTAGTTGTTGACACGGTCGTCAAGTGTCTTTGTTTCGGAAAGACTGCTTCATATTTCGCCAATTTTGTGCCTTCGTGAATCGGGTCATCACTGGGACAAGTAGAATTGTCAAGTGTTTTAAAGTGCCTTTGTTTTCGCCTCGCAATTGACACACCTGGCTACTCCAAGGAAATGGCACTTGGTGAATTTTTGTTCAAGTCAAAATTCGATTTAACAAAACAATTCTTCTTTTCTTAATTCCAACCACCTCTGGTCATCGGTCTAGCTTAATTTCGTGTTATTTCTTTGACAATTCACTTATCAAAACAATTTACCTTTCCTCTAACCCGGCCCAGCGTCCCACAGTGTTACAGGTAGTGCAAAGCTTAATGATATGGAAAAATTGAATAAGCAAATTAAGTTCTAATTCTTGATAAATGTTATTGCATTCACCTAATACTAAAGGCATGAATCCATATTTTTTCCCTGCAACAGAGCAGACTAAGATCTCTAGCCTTGGTTAGCAACCAGTCTAGAAGGACAACTAACAATTCAAAACTGTGGAGAAGGTAATGAGAAACCAATCCATTATTACCCCCAGATTTTAAAGAAATGGAAACTATGGAAAATCATGGTAAGTGAAGGGACATGGCAGGTAATAAAAAAAAAAAAAATGAGATGCTTACTAAGTGTAAACAAGCAATAGAGAATGAAAGAAAGACCAATGAAAAATGAATAATGTCATGCTTTGTTGAAGAAATTGGAGCATCTTAAGATATATATCTTCATTCCTGAAAGATTTCCGACTTTCCTAAGCCAAGATACATGACTACAAAAATGTTAAAAAATTTAAAGAAAACGGTTAAATCCATAGCCTCATGTTATTTGAAATATATAACACATAAATTAATCCCAAACTAAAATGATTTAATTACTAATTTGCAAAAAAAAAAAAAAATGCTAAAACACAAATTACTCACTTTTTTTTTTTATTAGACACTGAATTGTTTCACTTAGTGTCTCCCATAGCTTGCCTGACATTTCAGCTAACCTGATAAATATTAATGAGTACAGTGGAACCTTGGTCCACGAATTTAATTTGTTCTTTAAGGACATTTGTAACCTGAAATGTTTGTAAACCGAAACTATTTTTCCAATAGAAATCAATGTAGAGAAAAAGTCACAGTACAATAAAATTGGAAAAGAAAAGCACAACACAACGCACGAATGTATACAACATGGCGGTCAACTCATAAATGATTCCGTCTGGGTTAACTTGGAATTGGCAATGTTGTTCAAGAACTGAAATTTTGTTCTATAACCGAGGCATTTTCATCTCGAATTTTCTGTTTGAAAACCGATTTGTTCGACATGTGAGACGTTTGAGAACTGAGGTTTCACTGTATTTCTAAACTCAAAAATTTTGAAACCCCAATAACATTTTTGTTCTCATATATAAATACTTGTTACAAAATAAAATCCTTTCATTTGCCTTAAAGTCCTACAGAGGACAAAATATGTCGGTTAAGATAAATTTCCTTTTGTCTGTCTGTGTTTGTGTGTGTGTGTATATATATATATATATATATATATATATATATATATATTGTGCGATGGGTAAATTGTCGCTTAAATTATGCAAAAACGAGAATAATACTGACATTTCATTTTAACAGGAATATTTACCAAAATTGAACAAAAATATGTTGAAATACTAAAGAGTAAATTTATCCAATAAAAAATTGCCATTGACTTCAACCTCAGACTCCAGATGACTTCAGAATCTTCTACATCTCTTTTGGATGGTCTCTTTGTTTAAGTTGGTGAATGCTTACCCTCGGTTTATCTTTGGTATTACAAGGTGTTTTGTTGGTCTCTAGCTCAACTGCACCCCACACATAATAATAAAGGGGGCGGGGTTGCAGTCTGGGGAGTTAGCTGGCCAGATGTAAGGGGTGATGTAGTCACAGAAATTATTTGACAGACATGACTGGGTTCTGCTGCTTGTGTGGCATGGTGCAGAGTCCTGTTGCCAGACATAGGGTCTTCCAGCAGCCACCCTCTTGACCCAGGGCAGCACTACTTCCTCAAGGCACTTGATGTAGGTCTCTGTGTTGATTCTGAGTCCCTCACCAACAAATTCAGGAGTTGTTATCAGAATGATCAGAGCAAGTTTTCCAAGCTGCAGTAGCTTTGTAATCACCATTAGACTTATTCAACTCTTTCCGAATCCTCTGCACTGTCCTCAGATTGACACCCAAACACTCTGAAATGTTCATATTGGAGTTTCCAGTGTAAATGCCAAGTAGTACAGCTTGCTGTTTCCAAATTTCTTGTGGAGTGAATTGTGTCATGGTGCACTTTTTCTCACAAATGGTGCCCAACTGACCGTACTATACTTTGCAGTCAACAAAATCAAAAACAAACAATGCACATGTGTGAAATTAAAAATATAAAATGGTGACTATACCCATCGCACCCTGTATGTACTATCATCAGATGTAAACAAACAATATAGCATGAAGTAAATCAGATAAAGGAACATATTGTTGTGAGTATAAACACTTTTGATGAGAATTTATAAGCTTCTAGTACAGTTGACTCGCTAACAACTTTGGTGGACTCATCTAAGTCCAAATGAAAAATAAGACACAGAATTTGAACAAAGAAATATTAACAAATATATTGACAGGACATTTTATAAAAGAAAAGATAAGAAATGAAATGTGAAAAGTTCAAAGCAACTTTCAATGTTTATCATTGATTACTCACATTTTACAGCAATGAAAAGAATACATCTTTTCACTATGAAAAGTCAACAAGAAAGAGATCAAGTCTTTCAAATCTTGTGCCCCCTGTAATATTGTCGAGGGTGATAATTTAAAAATCTCACTACAATGAAACTTTACCATCGGGGGTGTTAATCCAACCTGCTATATACCTAAATCTGAATTTTGTCAAGTAACAGGCTTTAGTCATGTTCGATAGGCTACCAAAGATAGGGAAATTATTTCTGCACCATGCTCTACGTATTTAGTGGTTGTAGAATGTAAAAATAAGCAATGTTTCAGCTACTGTATTTTCTTTTGCATACTACAAGAAATTTTGAACATAAATTAAAGGCAAAAAAGGTGATCATATTATACACAAGTACACGTTTTCAGAAATTTTTACTTTGCTTAAAAAAAACTTTTATTTAAACCAACAAGATTACAAATACACTCAGTTAGCACAATAGATAATAAAACACAAATTATGCTGGTGTTGATAACAATTGTTAGAAAAGTTTTTTGATATGTCGGCCAGATTTGTTCTTTAGAAATCAGTGTAAGAACAGTTTTGCTCACAAAGTTTATTTCTATTTTGTTTTTTTTTTGTTCTTTCTTTGGTTTCAGCTAAAGTCTCTTTGTGTTTTGTGTTCCTTTTTTTGATTGGCCAAAATTATTTTATTTTACAGTGTTCCTTTCTTTTTCATTTTTTTTCTAACATAGCGTAAGTTATGCATAGATCCTCTCTGAATTTTGGTAGTTTTTAGTCACAAATGGCTAGACTCTGGTCCAGCAAATGTCTGCTGTTTTGCAGCTGGGTTCAGTTTTTTCTTCTTCTTTTTTTATTTGTGAGTTGCCTTCTCATTAGTTGAGAGAGAAGGAGAGAGAAAAAGATATGGGTTTTAATAGAAAGCGAAAATTTTAATTTTAATTCTTTAAATTTTTGTTTATATATTTTATTATCATTTTTTGGGGGGATTCACTACACACTCGATAGTGAAAAAGATTCTTGGAAAGCTAATGTTTCTGTGCTGATTCTGTTGACATCTCTTCTTTAGAGTTAGATATAAACACTTTTGAGATGTTTATTTAAAAAAAAAAGAAAAGAATCTTGACTCACCTGAATGGGACACAAAGCAGTAATGGCAACCAGAGCTCGAAATCGACTTTCTAAAAAATCAGTGCAGGAGGAAATATTTGTTAAATGCAGGAGAATTCGACAAAACTCGACAGCAATCTAAAAAAACAAGAATCATATCTTAAAATGTATTAACAATATCAACCACTAATGACATTTATGTTTAAAAACCGCCACAAGCCAAAGTTTGAAGAACATCAAAAACCTGTCATCCATGAAGAGATAATGCAATCGGGTATATGTGTAGAGGGAAAAGTAGTCACCAATCGCAGTGGGATGAAATAATAAAATGCAAAATTTAGAATAAATGATTGACAGAATCATTGCAAACATGACACTCCTCTTAATAACACCTTCAGCAGGTCAAGCATAGAAATGAGTCCTACATAAATATTTTTGATTAGGAAAGAACAGACATTTAATGCTACAAAATTCTACTACCTGATTATCCTGTGACCTAGTGAATAAGTGTTGGTTTATTGCATTTAGTTACATAGTGATTAGGAAATCAACTTTTGGATCTGGTTGTGAAAAGATATTTGGAAAAAGTTGAAAGGTATAATGTGAGAAGCATTGTCACTAAAATGACCAAGATGAGGACACTAAAGTCAAATAGATTAATTTATTGTAAATTAATTTTTGATAATGAAGAAAAATAAATATTAACATACCTCAGAAAATTTGGTAGATGATAAATTTGTATTAGAAAATGTAGATAACGATTGTCTTAAGTAGTTGTAGTCTACTTGGAAGATTGACATAAGACAGTCCTTCAAACTCTCTGAAATATGGCCTTGTACCAGACTAAGAGAAGCTAATATTTTTAATTTATTTACATTAATTAAGATCTATTTTTTAGGTGATTGATAAGAACTTCTTAGAAGTTTTTACATCTCAATTTGATTTCATTGAAAGAAAATGACAAACAAGAAAGAATTTCATGCTTTCTATGATAAATCTGCAGTACTTTTATTGGAATTAATACAACTTTTCTGCCTGAGATGAAACCAGGTGTTCTAGAAATTACTGGTCTTGATTAAATGAAAATAATTATGTATACATACAAATAAATCCATATAGATTTACTAGAAGAGCCTGGTGGGGGAACCAGTTTAGTTACTGATGATTCAACTATATGGCAGATTGTGCTGGGTTACATGGTACCAGCTGCACTGAGAGTGACTGGACGTGTATAAACAGGTTCTAAAAAGCAGACAGTCAAAAGTGACAAAAGAAAAATGATGCTGATAATAGTAGTAGTTAAAGTTTTACCTCTTGTAATCCATGAGGGCTTGACCGAATAAGATCTTCAGCAACAGTCAAACAAACCTCAACTCGGTCAGTGTCTTCAGTGTTGATTAACCCTAGAACAAAAATGTATAACAAAATTTTCATTATAATGGTGTTTAGTATAACTAAAAAATACTAACAAAGTTAACATAGTTGTTTAGATTTCTAATAATTATAATAGTTACTAGTAGACATAACCTGCATTGCTTGGGAACTTATTTTATCTAAGTCTAGAAATATTTTATTTTTATAGATTATTAATAATTACCTCTGTGTATTATAAATACACATACACATACTATATAGTGCTGATAATTCTTATAATTTTAATTGTAATAAACAAACATGAAATAGTTAACATTTAGAGTGGTAATAATTTACAATGGTTATAGTTTGTATATACTTGTAATAGTAATAGGAAAACATAAAACCATGGTATCACTAGCAAAATTATAAAGATAAATTAAGTAAACAGCAACAGAAACAATAAATTCTGAATCTATTCAAATATTGAATTTTTCAAACAATTTTTTCTTGTACCAAGACAACAAGACGAATTTACAGGCCCAACAGCAAATAATGGAGTCAATTTAACAAGGGAGATAATTTCCTTTTATGAGTAGAAACTTATGTTTTTAACCAATTGTGCTATATTTACCAAGATTTTTTAGGCAATTGCTAAGACTTTCTTAGTGAGAATTTACAGAAGGAAGATGGCAAATGGAAAAAAAAGTTCTTACCTTCCATGCAATCTCGGATATATTTTGGAGCTTTTACTTTGGAAATTTCTTTATCATTTGACATGTCGTATGGCTCGAATTCATCGTCATCACTGATTCAAAATTTAACATTTTTCAAATTATAAAATCACAAGGACTTTACAAGATTAAAACATTTGTAAAACAAATGTACATAAGTAATTTCTACATATACACCCACTTCATCAAGCAATTAATTCTTTGAGACAATAATTCAAGTAACATAATTGAAATATAAACATTTAAAAGAGTTTCTGCATTTAAGGAAGAAAACAATTATCAGTGACTTTTTAAAAAAAAATTGCTGTAATATCTCTAAGAGATTTTAATTCATCAGATTTTAACCTGGGATCAGCGGACAACATCTCACAGTATCTTAAAATATATTTATTTTTATAAAGACATCAGATTCCAGCCTGGGGTCAGTAGACAATGTTTCATGGTATCTTAAAAAATATTTATACCTCGACAGCTGGCAATATGAATTTTGTAAAGATGTATAAATTGTCGGACTTTGTCCATTTCTTAATATAAAGATGTATAAGTATGTCTACAGCAGTGGAAGTGTTAAATGATTAAAGGCAAAAATATTTTTTAAAAACTAACATGTAATAAAAAAAATAAAAGTAATGTATAAGCAAGCTGTTCTTGATACCTTCTAATAAAATATTCTGTTGTAACGGTAACACAAGGTATGTTTGCTTATTGGTGGCAAGTAGTATCTTGTTATCATAACATTGCATTAGCAAATAATGGAGATCAGGCTGCATGACTGATTATAGAATCATATTGTATTTGATATTTTACAATAGATCAAATTTCTTACTCGATCAGGTTTTTTCTTTTACCATTTCTTTCTTAAATTAATCTGGCAAAAATTTCTGAAAATAGTTTTACAAAATAAGATGAAATAAAGAATTATTTGAAAATTAAAATGTTGGTTTCCAGTAGATAAATGAGAAACCAGCAGCTTGTTTTTTTATCACCTCTACAGCAGGTGCCCAGTAATAATAAAAACAAAACTTGTATAAATTCAAAACTTCAGTTAAGCAAAATTTATAATCAATGTGTAAATAAGGAACAAGAGAAAATGAGTCTATGAACACGTCACACCGACAACAAAACGGGGAGAATGCTATTTTGCTTAAAAAATGTCAGTCTTAAGTTGGTTGACTTTGTTTAGCAGCATATCAACACCTCTATGGGTTATTTAATACCGAAATCTACATATTTTGAACACAATTTTATGACTTCAACTAAATTTATTTTGAACACAATTGTATATCTTCAACTGCAGATAAAATGCATTGTTGGTAATATTACTTTAAATAGATATTGTTGATAATTTTACTATAAATAGGTATTGTTGGTTGGTTGATTTTGTTTAGCAGCATATCAACCTCTATGTGTTTGTTTAATGCTGAAATCTCAATATTTTGAAAACAATTTTATACTTTCAGGGTAAAGGTATGTTTTTTTAGATATATATTTTGTAGATCATAAAATGTTAGTAATTTTACTATAAAAATGTATTTTGAGATTTTTTTTATATATTTTGTATATGTATCATATATTATCTTACATATGTATTATATATTATTTTGATATTTTTTGATATTTTTTTTAGTATTGCATTGATTGTCATTTTGCCATAAAAATGTACTGTTGCTCATTTTATTATAAAAATCTACTGTTGATTTTTATGGGCGGGGTCACTATTTATCCATAGGTGAGACCCACTCCAGAATTATTACATATTAATAAAAACTATATTTAAAGATTCACATGTGAAAACCCAACAATAGAAAGAACTTAAAATATAAATTTCATATATGCTGTCACTTTTAAAATATCGCAGACGCCTCCCTCTGTCTTTTTTACAAGTACTTTCATGGTAACTGCTCTGAGGAGCCGCTTTCGCTGGTTCCCAAACTTCATGAATTTAAGCGTTCTACTAGGCTGGCATCTCGTTCACACCTTTTCACTGTCGAAACTGTTAAATGTAGCCATCTCTTCTACTCCAATAGCTTCATGTCTCGCACCTCTCACCTGTGGAACTCTCTCCCCTCTTCCTGTTTCTCTGATAGCTATAATCTCCAACTATTCAAATGTAATGTCTCGCGACATCTCCAGATGCCTTGATTTTTCCCTTATCCTTTTCTTCATCCTTTCCTCTATCACTCCTATTTGCTCTAGCTCCAACTCTGTAAGCCCTTGCATGCTAGTGGCTCCTTGCCTTGCATGGGGTGAAACGCTTATATATAAAAAAAAAAAAATAATAAAAAAGAATATATGTTTGTCAGCAAAAGGGACATCCGAAGATGCCAATAACAACTTGGAGGCACCAAAATCAGGCAAGTATAAAAATTTAAATATCTAGAAAGTGTTTTAACAGAGGACAGAAAGTGTAACTGGGAATTTCGAAGGTGCAATAAAATAGTGAAAGAAAGCTTGTATTGCAAAATACATTCGAATATTTAAAGGTGGTCATCAGTGATGAAAGCCGTCTTCATCGCTGATTTCGGGGTTCTTATTCATCATATCAGCTCCGAGAGCCACCCCCACCCTGTTATCTTATTCTACAGGTCACCACCGTGTAAAGAATTGTGCTAGTGCTCATTTATACTCTCAGCTCTTAAAAAAAAAAATTAAAAAAAAAAAATAAAAACCAATGGAAGCGTCCCAAATTACTTGCTCTGTCCCAATTAAAATATTAACGATACATTTAGCTGTACACTGAGATGGGCACGTCTTTTTTTTTTTCTTTCCCCTTCCCTCTCCTTCTCTCTCATTTTTTTTTTCTATTTTTTTTCCTCCTTTTTCTTTTCCTTTTGAATTATATACATTGCTTGCTTTGCACCAATTAAAAAATATAATCTTTTCCAAAATTAACTTATACTACTTAATTAAAAAACATTAATAATATGTTTGGGGTGGTTAGGTTTTAACTTGTTAAAGTTTTATATATCGTATGTAATGGATTGATTTTACGTATTTACAGTTAAAATATATCAATGGTACCGGGAGGGACGGATGGTATGTTAAATTGAACTATATAGGGAGGGATGAAATATTGATTTGAAATAAATTAACAATTTATATGGTAGAAATGGACCTTAACTTGATACGATTAAAATATATTACTACTATCGTATGAAAATGGGTGAATTCTAAATTATTAATTTTAAAAAAATCGATGATATCATCCGGGGGCTAGAATTTTAATATTATTAAAGTTAAAATATATTATTGAAACAAAGAAAGAAACGAATTAATTCTAAATTATAACATTTAAAATAAATCGACGATATTGTAGCGTATGGTATAAATGAATTTTATTAATGTTAAATTGTGTGGATTGATTTTAAATTATGTTACATTAAAATATAATAACATTATCGTATGAAAGGGATACATTCTAAATTATGATAAGTTCCAGTACCTGAACAATATCAGATGTTAAGTTACAATATTTTATGAAACATTATCGAGAATTTGTGAGTTAAATTTAACTAATAAAACCTACACAAAACCTATTTATTCGCAAGCAATGTAAATCCAGATAAATTTTTCAATACTGTGGGGTGATTTTGTATGTAGCTTTTAAGGATTGTTTTCCATTGAAATATTCCCCCACCGCTCGGATCCTTTAATCCATATCCATTTAGAAGCCGTCAGAGCTTCATTTGAAATTTTCTTAACGGCTTTGGCTTTAGCTGATCCCACAATCCCTATTTTCCTAAAAGCTTTGCATAATGACTGGCCTACAAAGCCACGGCATCCTACTTCCACAGAGTCATATGTGACCTTTCAGGAATTTTGTTGACACTTTTTGATCAATTCTTGATATTTTGATCATTTCCTTTCGTTTGCTGATGTCAGGTGTTCTTCCCAGGGGACTGTAAGCTCCCATATTATACAGTGTTTGGTGGAGTTGGAATAGATAATCAAATCTGGTCTGAGTGGTGTTTCTGCTATATGTCTGGGGAACTTTAGTTGTGTCTTCAGGTCTGTATCCAAATGCCAATCATTTGCTGACGATAACAAGTTTGTTTTGGGGATCGTTTGTGTTGTGATGATATAACCCAACTTCCCCATTCACGATAATGGACGGACTGGTTGCCGATTAAGTACGACCACAGCGGACAGTGAAAGAGGTCTTCGTTTGTTAACACCTATTGAGGTTAGCATACTCCCGACTGTCTCTGTATTTTGACATCCCTACATCCGATTATAAAATTATTATTGAAAAACCAACACTCGGGTTTACTTTGTTTATTATATCTTGCACGAGACATAACAGTTTGTTTGCAAATTATTAAGAAACAGGGGAACAAAGAAAAACAGGAAGAGGAAGCAACAGAAATCTTGTTCTACAGAAAGATGCTGAGAATATCATGGACTAAACATGCGAACAACGAATATGTTTTAGGGAAAAAGGAGAAACAAAAAGGACATTTACACAGAGAAACAGAAAGAGACAGTTGAAATTTCTAGGACACATAATGAGGAAAGAGGGCTTGGAAAATTTGATACTCACAGGACATAGTTAAGGCAAGAGGGACAGAGGAAAGCAGTGAATGTTAATATAATGTCAACGTCGGAAAGACGGTAGACCGAAACGTCTGACGTTGACATTATATTAACATTAAAACAGCATAATTGCATATTAAGATTTTTGTTTGTTTTTTCCATATATTTTTCTTCATACTGTCGGATCTATATCCTTATATTTGCTTACAAACAGTTGTATATATATATGACTTTGTGATCCTGGGTTTCACGCTTTTGTGATCATCAGACAAACTGGTTTATTTTTTAAAATTGGATCTCTTTATGCTTGTTTCTTATTCCGAAATAGAATTACAATTGCGTGCGTATGTATGTATGCCTGAATGCATGGATGTGTATCTGCGCCTAGCCTCGGATTGTTGATATGGATGTGTTTGTATGAACTAAAATGCGTAAACCGTATGTATGTGTGTCTATGCATATGAGAGGGTCATCCCAAACAAACACAGAAGAAAATTCCCCCTCCTACCACCAAACAAGCATAAATAGATCCAATTTTAAAAAATAAACCAGTTTGTATGATGATCACAAAAGTGTGAAACCTAGGGTTACAAACTTATATCCATACAACTGAATATGTTAAACTCTATCACTGATGTTGAGCACTTTCTACTAAGTACTGTACATATAAAATTATATATATATATATATATATATATATATTAATCAATTCACCTCAAGCAAGGTGATAAAGCCATTAAGATGTAAGGTGCTACTGGAAGTGAAAGGGAATGTCAAAGATTTTAGAAGTAACTGGAAACCCAAATCTAAACAGGAAAGAAGGGATAAACCTCTACTCCTGTTTAAAAGACTGCAAAGGAGTGTGAACTGGACAATAGGTGAACCTATCTACTCCTATTGAGAAAAAAAAATAGTAAATAATATTTCAGAGTTTAGGTGGGGACATTAGAAGTATAAAGTTGAAGTAGACATTAGAAGGAACAGGAGGCCCAATCCTAAACAGGAAACAAGGGATGAATATTTACATGAATATAGTGACTGAATTCAAAGTTTTTTAGACTTTCTTTTGATATTAATTATTCTGAAAGCATGCTATTTCTAAGTAAAACAAGCAACAATTAAGAAAAAATATGGATGAATTTTTATAAAAGATTCTCCTTAAGTTTCACACTCATTTGAAAATAAACTGTGCCACACCTGAAATAATTACACTCACTATAACAATAAACACAACACTGGTATGAATCATGTGAAATGTACAGGTAAGCTAAAAACAATTAGTTATGTAAGAGATAGGTGAGGTGATCAAGATGCAGAGAGATTATCATGAAATTTGGTCAATATACACACCTATCAAGTTCACCATCCATTGATTTATTCTCTTCTGGTTTCTGATTGATTTCTTCTTTAACATCTTCTTGGCTGATCAATGGCTGAACAGGAACATCAGATTCACTGTTTTCATAAAACAAAGAATAAAACCATTATTGACTGTTCCAAGAGTTGTTCAAACTGTTAAGATCGTTTCTGTTCAAGATAGGTGCTAGAATTTTCAGATGAATTATTATCATTCCTAAAGATTGAACATGTTATTTTTGTTCCTTCTATGATTGCCACAATATTTCAGTCAATCCTTTCTATGGCCTTCCTCAAAGTTTACAATCAATATGGGAAGAGGTGGAGAGGGATCATTTTTTTTAAATTTTCTTTTGGCAAAAACAAGAAGATGATGATCAGCAAAAATGGATTTCTTTCCTTAACAAAAAAAAGTTTGTAGAGAAGCAAAGAATGTCGAATTTGGAATCAGCTGTTGCTCAATGGTTTGACATAAGTGGAGGAGAGGCCACTTCTTTCTATAACAAATGTGAATCTGAGAAAGGCCCTAGAATGGTTTGGCTGAAATTTGGTAATGGGGGAGGGGGTAGAGAGGGATAATGACTTCTCAAAATTACTAAACACATTTTAACAATTATCCATGTCTACACATATATTTGTTACAAAATATTCTAACAAAAAGGAGAAGATGTGCTTTACAATGTATTGTTTAATTTCAGTTTTTACTCCAATAGGCAATTGTGTCTAACTCAAGATTTAACCCAATTTAACATGAATGACATTTGACAATGTCAATAGTATGCTCCTCTAAAATGAATCCTGAATTTTCAAACACAAATTTAAGATAAGAAGAACATAATGTTGGATTCATCTAAATTTCTTACATCAAACATTATCATAATTATGTATTTTTCTTTTGAATGGTGGCACTTAATAGTCAAAAAATAAATGTCAAACAGCTTTGGAGTTGCAAAAAAAAAGTTACAGAATAAGATTAAATAAATATCAGTGACTGACTGATTGTGGTTTAGATGTGGCACAAGTATGGAGCACCCAGCAAGAATCAAACTCACAAGTCAGTTGTAATTGATCTAGCGAGGCAAGCTTGTTAACCATTACACCATGTCAAAGTGATCAAGATGAAATAAATATCAGTGATTGACTGATTGTGGTTTAGATGTGGCACAGGTATGGAGCACCCAGCGAGAATCAAACTCACAAGTCAGTCGTAATTGATCTAGCAAGACAAGCTTGTTAACCATTACACCATGTCAAAGTGCTCAAGATGAAATAAATAGTAGTCTAAAATTAGGAATAATAATGCTTCATCTAAGAAATTTGGACAACTTCAGATTTTCATGTTTAGTACCTATACAGTTCATTTGAACAATGCCTACTGGTTTAGCTTTTCTAGCCTTGTTGACAAGGCACTTTCACAGTAAGACAGGCACCAAAGGATAAGAGATATGAGTTCAAATCCAGTTAAAAGCTAATTCTTTATTTTTTTTTTTATTTATATGGCTCTAATTAACAGTCATACCAACATAAGAGTTACCATAAAAAACAAGAGAATAGCATTAATGACAAAACTTGTAAAAAATGAAGAATATGTTTAGACTGGCTTCTGGTTTAAATAGTTCCATATTAATCACCAGTTCCAGAGGTTAGGATTCAAATTCAGGAAAAAGTCAGAATTTAAAAAAATTTCAAAACAGGCAAAAGACTGATCCAACACAATCTTCCTCTCTTAATGGCCTTGTACCTTACAAAGCTTAAAAAAATATTAAGATTCCTCTTAAGTATATAAATTGCCCATTGTAACTTCTGCTGTTGTGCTGATGAGATTTATTTTACCTTGATACTTGTAAGGTATTTGCTTTATGCTATGAACTTGAGTCATGTTCTTAAACAGCCTCATTAGATCAAGACTTTCATATGAATGTCATGCATAATGCCAAACTTGTTCAGAAATATCTAAACTGTCTTGGTTAAAAATGGCTTTGAGCTTATGAAGCCTGTAGGTCTTAGCAAGGACAAAATTTGTGGACTAGTGCTACAAAATCACAAAAGACTGTACCAAATAACAGAAACCATTGCACTTGAGGACTATCAAGAAGAGCAGCAACAACTAAAATGAACAGCACATGTAACAAGAAGAGAAAATAATGACATAATCAAGATGTTGATGTTTCACACTACTTTAAACAAAAAGTTAGGAAGGAAACTCCTATCAATACTAGAAAGAGAAATAACAGCTACTGGAATTGACAAACCTATTTTCATGAAAAACTGTTTTAATGGAATGATTTTATAAATTTCAACTTAAAGCAGTACTGGCTGTTTGGTCAATAAATGCAGAATGTTTCCTTATAAGGAAACAGCTAATATTACCATTGTTGATGATACAAAGACTTAAAGACATCATCAGGATCCCCCCCCCATTCTGAATCATGTTTAAAATTCTTCCTTTCTACTCTAAATGAAAGTGATCCGTTTGTGAAGGAACCTGTTGACAATTATTCACAAGAATTCGTGGTGGACAGATTTGGTGATAATTCATTTCAAATGCAGACGTCTCTCATTGGTCCTACCGTTTTTCTGCTTTATATTAATGATCTGCCTAGGAACATTCTCACATCATTAGTAAATATCTATGCAAATGATATCACAGTTTTTGGGTGAACCTCCAAAAATCTAAATGCCCAGAGCTGATCTCTCCACTGACCAAGCTCTAACAGGTCGCTGGGGGGAAAATTGGCTTGTTATTTTCAATACCTCAAAAACCAAACTAATAATGTTTGGTCATCACTAAGCAAACTGTGAAGTTTCTCCAGTCGTGATGAACAGTTACACTCGCATTGAGGTTACTTGCCTTGAGTGCCTATGAGGACTAAAGTTCATCCCAGACCTGAAATTCATCTATACGATCTACTGCTAATGATTCTGGAAAATGGTTGATTCATTCTATAGCTCCAGGAAGTATCTGACACCTTCTACCATACTTTCTCATTACAAGAATTAAATTGAACCAAATATAGACATGACCATGAACATATAGTGGGAACACCCTTGCCCAATCCTCACTTTCCAGCCTTGACAGAGTTCAAAATCATTTATGCAGCCTTGTGGGGGAGGAAATGTTTCCCAGTGTACAGACCCCTTCCTACAATGTCTCAAGCCTACTACTACTTCACTACTTCCATGGTAAATGTTCAGATGAGCTCCACTCTTTAGTGCCACCAGTTCAGACCTGCCTTGTTATGTCCACGGGGGTTGAATCACCCCTCACCCACCCCCAAGCTATTGGTAAGAAGGATGTTCCACTCAGGAGGCTTCTTACTAAAAAACAATGCTTTGTAGAATAGACTCCTGTGTAAATGCTTCCATAAGTGCTACAATTTTAATCCCTTCAACTTTAGGGTCAATCATTATCTATCCTGCATATCCTCATAATCTGTACTTCTTACATCCTCCTATGTTCAGAGAGCAACCTCATTCAGTAACCCTCTACCTTGAGTGGCTCTTAGGCCTTGTATTGGGTGAGCATAAAAAATAAATTATGTATTCATATTATAGAACATTATCTTTTTTTTTTTTTTTTATTAATAAAATAAATTAATTCTGATGTTTTTCCTGGTTTCCGTAAATTACAATGGCTTCCAACCAAACATCCTTTCTTTAAGACTGCCTTACAGAGGAGGATGTTGTTCAAGTAATTTCCCAAATCTGAATTTATGTTCTGCAAAAGAACAACATACCTTGTTTCCAGGGGAGGGACAATCAATTTCTGAAGGTCTTTAATTTGTTGGGTTTTTTCATACTGAAAGAATAAAATGTAAAATATAGTTCCAGTGTCTTTATTTATTATAATAAATCAGGTAATTTTTTTTTTAAATTGTTATTTGAACAAAACTATTAGACATGACCTTGAACAAGACTATTAGACATGACCATGAACATATAGTGGGAACATCTCTCTTTTTAACATTAAAAGTTACCAGTTTCTGAAGAATGACTGATTTTGACAACTGATCAAAATTCTTTGTGGACTTTTCTTTTAAAGCCAAAACATTTGGATTCTAAAAATAATTCTTTCTTTTTTTCTGAGTGAATATTACATCAACAATTTTTTTTTTGCAAATAACAATGATTTTTCTGGTGGGAAGAGATGGATTCATGCCTTTCCCAAGAGTATTTGTGTGTAAGTAAATGTAACAGACTCGACTGGAATTAGAACTCTGCTTTCTGATTTCTAATTCCAAGTTGCTATCCTACCATGCCTGCTCATTACACCACCTGCACATCCAACCCAGCTTCTGGATGTGGGTGAGATGACATTTGCTGATTCCTTGAACTAAAACAGCTCAATATTTTAGAAAATAACTGACCATTGACAAAGAAGTAAAACAAAGTTCTATAGAATTCAAAGAGGAAATATTGTGGTTATAATTCAATGCATTATTCAAGCTAAAGTTCACAGTTACTGATTTTTTCTACTTGTTTTTTTTTTTTTTAAATAATAAACATTACTTGTAGATATAAACAGTTTTTTATACTTTGCAACCATAAATGACTAGCAGTAGAGCCCGGCGTTGCCCGGGGATGTAACAGTAAGAGATAGATCAAGTATCGACAATCATAAAGACTGAAAAATAAAATTGACAAAGATTATTGTTTAAGGTTGACGGACACGCATGTCTTAATTAGTTTTTTGTTTTGTTTTTTTTGTTTTTTTTTTACGAGTTGGTCAAACCCAAACTCAAACAAAAACATTGTTTTCAATCGTTATGAGTCTACCGATTGAATAGAATTTTATTATAAACAATTGTCTTGTAAATGGAATTTTTAAAGCATTCTGAATGTAAAAATAAAGAAAAAGTGTGCAAGACAATAAGAAACACTACCTGCCAAAAAAAAGTGAAGTTTTGTTGAAATCGGTTGAAAAATGTAGGAAATCCGATCCCATATATAAATGAACACACACACACACAACCTGGGTTTTATAATAAGTATAACTCGATATGAGTTGTCCTCCTTTCATTCTTGCGACAGTGATGCCTCTTAATCGTGTTTTCAAATTGATTTCGTGCAAAAACAATTGTGTTTTTCCAATTTTTGGTGCTGTCAGAACCACTGCAGGGAAATTTTACGTAGTCCTGTGAAGTTTTGTTGAAATTGGCTGAAAAATGTAGGGAATCCGATCCAATATATAAACAAAGAGAGAGAGAGACACACACACATACACACACAACCTGGGTTTTATAATAAGTATGATTATAACATGTTGTACATTGACTTTTGTGAGAATCTATTAATTCATCAAATAATGGCATTATTTCATTTCAGAAATTCAGAAAAATCCAACATTATTGCTATTTTTATCATCTTTTCTATAAATTGATTAATTTGTTTTCTATAGCTTATCAATCCTGTGCAGATTATTTAATGCCAGAAAATATTTTTAGATGGTAAGATTTTTTTTTTAAGTTAATGGTTTTAGGAATACAAGTCTTACTAATTAACCTATATTTGGGGAGAAGTGGATTCATACCTTTCCCAAGGGTATTTTGCATGAAAGTGAATATAACAAACCAACTGGAAGTGGAACTAGTCTCTTCGATTAATAATTCTGAGCTGTTATCCATCACACCACCTGCACATCCAAGCTTACAGCACCCATCTAGGTACTGACAAGGCTTAACATCACTTTGATAATCATATGGAAACTGGTGTTTCAATCTGCTATGGCTGTAAGCCTTATAGATTCACTTAAGAAATCTTTATTTTTGTTTTATTTCTTTATATTAAAATCTAAAGAGGAGGAAAATTGAAAAAAAAAATGTCTGACTTACAGTAAAGTTAAGTTCTGGGCCATTTGGATCCAATTTGGCAACTAACAATTCTGTGACTGCCATACCCAAAATGTGAATATTGGAATCAATATTCTGTAAATGGTTCTGCATACCATACATCAGAGATGACACAGAAGCTGTAAACATAAATCAGATACAAAATGAAAATATATTTGGGCCTTATAAAAACAGTCTTTACCTGTTTAAGGTTATGCTTACAATTATATTGTAGACAATTTATTAAATATATTTTTGAAAGTACAAAAGATGTTACTAATAGACAATGTTTTTGGTAATCTTAAGTGTGGTGTTCATCATCATTTTGGTTACCAATTGTGCTGAAATTAAGATACTCAAGTTTATCTACTTGTTATGGTAAATGTTGTCACAAAAAGCTTATTATGTTACTACTATTTTTAAATGTTATTCATTATCAACTAAAAAGAAAAACTTCTTTTGATGTCAGATGAATTTAAATGTTGAATTCAGCGAGTGAAAAAATAGACAAAAAAGTGCAAGGAAACTTCATAAATAAAAAAAATAACAAAAACATTTAATGACAAATTGACATAATTAATAAAGCAAATAGAATGAAAAAAAAAGCTATGTTCCCAATAGAATAAAATGCAATATTTCAATATTTATACTATTTGTATTTGGATTATTGTCATCATCTTTGTTGTTATCATAATGCTTCGGTCATTGTGTCCACTGGCCTTCATCAGGTGTATATCAATTTGGGTAACCTACAGGGAATTCTGAACTGAACACTTTATTTAATCTACGAGGGTAGAGTGTTCTTGTTCCACTGCTCATGTCTAAGGATATCATCTCATTTTTATTTAGTACTGTTCAGTTATTGGTAACCCATTTCCACTGCCTGACCCACAACCACTATGTCACCAAAATTCACAAATCAACATTTTACCTGTAAGACAATTTGCTGTAGTAAATATGACAGTTTCTAAATTTACATATAAGGCATTTTGTATTCATTACAAAAGGTTTGCTGTTCAAACAAATACAATTGATCTTTGTTGTAGAAATGGAAGGCATGGATTACAACAAAAGAAACATTGAATTGGTTGCATTCAATTTGATTAGAATAAAACTAACACAGTTTTACATTGCCACTGGGGAAAAAGGCAAACACACTTGTAGAAGCTAGGTGCCATATTCACAGAGATTATCTGTATGCAAAGAAATAATCCTAACTACCCTTAATATGTAAATAATCCTTGATATCCTTAATGTGTAAATAATCCGTGTTAAATTTTTTCGATTCTTGCAGAGTAATCAAATTGATTAGCATGGTCTCCACAGCAATCCATTCACTCAGCAACACTTGATTGGCTAAGAGTGAAACTGATTTATATCTTCATTGACCTCATTCAACAGAGAAGCATTTATTTATTTATTTCCACATAAACATATGACATAAAAGCACTTTGACCTTTGAAGTATGTCACCATTTTCTTCAGCATATAAACTTTAAATTAAAATATAAAGATCAACTTGTTTCTTAAATGATATAACAAAATAATGTCTGAAAAGGATATAAAATTTAATTTCACCAATTTTAATCTTTTATACAAAAAGTGAAGCAGCCCTGGAATAGGGCTGCACGTTGAAATTGATCAGTGTTTATTATAACATTTATTGGAGATAATCTTTAACTTTGATGCACAGAAATAAAACAGTCTGTCAAAAGGACGGTTTTCCCTTGACACTGCTATTATTTTCAATTCTTAGAAATGTTTGGCTTATGACCACATCACGTTGTAATACCAGTTCCCATACGATCACTGAAGTTAAGCAACGTCGAGCCTGGTTAGTATCTAGATGAGTGACTGCTTAGGAATATCATGTGGTGTAAGCTTGGATGTGCAGGTGGTGTAATGAATAATGACTTGGAATTGTTAATTGGACAGCCAAGTTCCAATTCCAGTTGGGTTTGTTATATCCACTTACACACAAGCACCCTTGGGAAAGGTATTACTCCACCTTTTCTCTTCCCAGAATGTTAATTATTTCTGTTGTTAATTCTCAAGAACAAAAAAAATGTATAAATTCATTTTCATGTGTTTAGGTTTTATTAGAATTGTAATCATTGTTTTTTAAAACAATAAACATTGACAAGGAGTAAAGGTAGTTAAAATAATAGTGGTGTCAAAGGAAAAACCATTATTTCGACACTCCGTTTTTTTGCGGTCCTGAATGTTAAAGATGGCCTAAATTTCTATATGTCAGAACATTGTCAGATAATTTGAGGTATTTAAATAAAAAATTATAGGAAGACAAAAGAGATCTTTTAGAAAACAACATGCTAAATGCCCGATTATAATTTCAATTTAAAAAATGTTGATATAAGTAAAGGATAAAGTAATTTATTAAAGTGGAAATGCATAGAAAGTGCCTCATTTCTGAATGATCTTTGATAAATTTCTGTCCATTTTCTTAGAGTTCCTCACTTTTCTTAACAAATCTTCCATTGTTGCAATAATGAATATTTAAAAACAACAGCAATAAAAACAAAAGTATTGGGAAACAGATTTAGATTGGCTGACCTGTGTGCCTAAATGTGTCAGACACCAAAAAATTTAAACAGAGATCAAGATAGAAGAAATGACATGAATCCGTAGGAGAGAGAAATTTATCTACAGAATATGAGAAAGAGAGTTCAACAGCAAAGAAATGCCATAAAGATCAGTCTTTATGATTCCATATTGTTTATGGAAGTGTTGTAATGGATGTATTTTATATACACTTTCACTCAATAACTTAAAATAAGCTTATATTATTAAATATGAAATCAAGTATAATATAATTTTTTATTAATCAAAATAGTGCAAATTAAACAATTTCATTAACTGATAACTATTCATTGGATGATATTTAAATTATCTGTGAAATTTTTCATGGGTCCAGCTAGTTACAATAATTATTGGAAACTTTTGTCATGGCAGAGTCTAAGATCTGTGATCTAATTATTTAGTTTTTAATTGTAATGACATTGATGGAGGCATGTACACTCCTCCAAGTGCCTTCTAGTGTCAGGGGTGGTGGATGATGTTGTTGATAATAATAATAATGATGATGATGGTTTATGCACTTTCATGTTCACACCAGATATTTGGTGGCTATCACTGGAGACTGAGTGATAAAAAGTCTTTTTAAATTTTCAGCACCTTTCTCAGTATCAATGCAGAAAGAAGCTCATTGTTTGTGACTGGTGGGATGTGAAGGGCGTGAGTCACTGGGAAATGCTGGAACACAGTCAGTCCATCAATACTCAACTGTACTGTCAACAACTGCAATGTGTTGCTGACACAATTGCACAAACATGTCCAAAATTAACTGATGTTCCTTCATGATAACACCTGACCACAGATGGACTGGGATGTTTACCCTCACTCCCCGTACACCTGATGCCAACAGACTACCATCTATTCTGGGTACTACAGAACTTCTTGAATGATAAAACATTTGCAACTGATGATAAACTGAAAATTGAATACAAAGGTATCCATGACGTACCCTGTTATTGGAAGCAGGTGACTAAAAATAAGGGGGATTATAATTGAAGTTTCATTGAAATATGATACTCAGCATTGTATTGTTAATAAAAGATTTACAGGAACTTTTATTTCCAACCCAATATTTTATCTCCAAGAAACCAAAAATCTTGGAAGGAACTGATATTAATATCAGAATTATTAATAGCTTTGGATTCAGACAGTAAATCTTATGGAATTGTTTTTGCCATCAAATAGCAAGTGGAAGAATAATATCCATAGACATTGGACGGACAACCATAGTATGCACATTGAAAAACGGTATTAAAAGAATTATCAAATAAATTCCATCTTTCCCTGTAAAAACTTTGAAGAGCTTGGGAGACCTACAGCACTTTTGTGAGTTAGCAAAAGACAAGGAGGTTTGGAGAGGACTGATACGAGTTATTTCTAAAGTTGCAGAAAATGAGAAATCACACTGAATTGCAGTGTGCCTTCAAAAGCAACTCTCATGGTGATCATTTAAATAGAAATAGAATATGAATAGAAATAACGTTTACCTTTCCTTTCTTTCTCATCGTCTTTTTCTGTGATAAAACCAGCAGAGATGACAATGGCACGAGAAATGTAGTGGTGCTGTTCATAGGATGTGTGTCGGAGGGCACTCGCATCTCCCCAGACATTGATAAGAGTTTTAAACACCTTGAAGAAAAAAAAAAAAAAAGAAAAAAGTTATATCATAAAATATGTCCCAATTTGAAAATAAAATGCTGTAAAATTTATTACAGATATGACTTTGTCTTACTTCTCAGCCACTCAAAACCCTCATTTTTTGGAAGGGTGGGAGAAGGGTATCCATTCTCATGTGAAAGTTTTAATGAAACATTTTCAGGAAAAATCTTTACCTCATTTTAGACAGGATTAGATAGCCAAATGTTATGTCAATATTCTATCACAAGCAGAAACATGTAAAAACATAAAACAAAGTCTCCTATTCCCCTCCCCAAGAAACATATTTGCAAATGATGAGTTTTTCTTACTTTCTAAGAATCACAAAATGCTTTTTTGAAAAGGAGTAAAATTGTTGTGTATCAAAACTGAGTCTCTTAATTCTTTTAACCATTTCTTTTCTTATGTTTTCATCCTTAGGCTTTCATATGAAAAAGAATACCTCCCCCCCCAAAACCAATTGAGGAGTATTTAACCCAAGCTTCTGGCTAATTTTTTTTCACCATCATCCCAGAACTGTCCTGAAGATTTTTTTAACTTTTACAGCTTATCAACCCCATGAAGATTATTTAAAGCCAGAAAATATTTTTAGAGTGTAAGAATTTTTTTTTGAATAATAATGATTTACTGATACAAGTCATACTAATTAATCCATAGCTGGAAGGAAAAAGTGGAGTCATACTTTTCCCAAGGGTATGCGTAAGTGAATATAATGAACCCAACTGGAATTGGAACTTAGCTCACTGATCTCCAATTCTGAGATGTTATCTATTACACCACCCACACATCCAAGCTTAGAGCACCTGGTATTTCCAAGGGGTTACCCATCTAAGTACTGACCAAGCTTGACATCGCTTAACTTTGGTGTTCATATGGGAACCGGTATTTCAATATGATATGGCTGTAAGCCTGAATAAATTTTAAACCATCCTAAAATCAAAATCTTATTGCTTTTTACATTTCTTCTCATTTACATTTATTTGTAGCAGAATAAAAACACCATTAAAATGTTATAGTGCATCACTCATGAACCCCCCCCCCTACCCCAATGTGCATTGGAAAGTCATATTTTGCAGACTTTGACAAGTTCCACTATTATTTTGTTGCATATTATCAGAAAATCTTTAACTGATCCCTTCTTCAGACATTAAATTGCAGGAATTTGTAATCATTTCTTTTTATGTCAGTGGACGTGTTATCAGTGTAATCGTTAGCAGCTTGGAATGATAAAATCTTGAGCGGCTCCCAGATATGGTTTAAATAGTAGGGCAAACTGGGCTCTCTAGCCTTGGTTGGTTGGTTGATTGATTGATATGTTTAACAGCATATCAATTCCTTATGCGTCATTTAATGCTGAAATTTAATTTTTGTGGGAGCTTTGAATTAATAAAAATATGATGTTCCACAGGGGCTAGCAATTTCATCCCATAAAAAACCAGCTTGCTATGGAAACCATAGCAGCAAAGCTTAGCATGTTGAGAGCCATGGCCCCTGTACTCCTCAGTACAGTCAATAATATATTGATACATCTATCAATAATTCTGTAGCCTAATGTAGATAAAAAAAATTTTTCCTAATTTAATCTTCTTTGATAATTAATTAGTGGTGAATATTAACTGCTGCATTGAACATTATACAGTGACATGTCCAGATCAAAATTCAGCAAACAACTTAGGCTATTGACTTATTGGAAATTTTTGATGAAATTTAACAAAACTTCTGCCAGGATGATATATACAGCCATTTTGATGTGGAGTTTTTTTGACATGCCCTGGGGTCTGGTCATTGACACACCCTGGTGTCCAGTCTTCGATATGCCTAGGCATCTATTTTTTTTTTATATATATATATATATATATATATATATATACCTTGACATTTATAATCTTCAAAGTTCTCTTGATTTTCACAAAATCTCCTGTGCAGCTCAAACACACATGATGCATGTCATATAATCCAGTCAACCATTTTGTTTACTTTCACCAACCAACTTCAAATTGATGAAGTGATCCATTTTTGAATAGACATTTTTTACATTATATCAGAAAAACAGGTCAACTTCAAAAAAGGCAATGTAATCGATAACAACAAAGGTAGATTGAAACTTCCAGACATTGTTTATATTTGTTCATTGTATATGATGCATTTATTCTATGATTGTCTTATATAAATCTATTCTTGTTATTTAATAGCCCCATCTTAGCTGTGTTGACCAACATAATCCTCATGACATGGAGAAAGATTTTGCTTTGTTAATATTCTAAAATAAAACAATAAAATTTGCATCTACAGTAAAGAAACAAGTGATATTCAAATCATTTCAATCCAATGTTAATATTTTTTCTTAGGAGTTTAACATTGTTATTTTCCATCCAGTCAGCGTGGAGTGCAGAGGGTGTGATGGCCCCAGGCATCCATATTGGGAGGGCATCCAATCAAAGAGTGAAATAAAAATTTAGTTTGTATTTAATTTGAATAAAGAGTTTTACGGTGAACAACTACATTGAAACAAGCGAGTCAGAGTGGCTTGCATCTGGTGCAAAGAAAAATAAGTTTCTTACCTCAATAAATGACATATATCTGCAACATTTTGTTCCTTTGAAAATTGCATGAATCTCCCCACCCCACCTTAGATTATTCCAAAAGTGTATATTCTGTAACGGTGGCTTTTGTACAGCTTAGTGTGGTTCAACCAATAGCAATTCGCATGCTGATTGGTCGGACTGGAGGATGCCATTTGACTGAGTAACTGAGGACAAAGCAAAGAATGCTAAATTGGACAGTCAGCTGTGATTTTGGTATGATAAAAGAGGGCTGAAGCAGTGAGAAGCAGAGCAATTTTTACGTTGGTGATGTGTGTGGGAAATCAAGAACGGCGGATTGAAAAAGAAGTATTTGATGTTGTACAAGCAACATTAGAGAGACACAAGCTCATTTACTCTATAAGTTTATTTCAGGTTTCATCTGATTTTACATATTTAAAATGTCTTCCTTTTTCGCATTTCTCAATACAAGGTCCTATAGGCCCCCTTACTTGAGTATTGGGGGCATACGATCAAGGAGCTGGCATCATCAAACATCACGAAATCTTTGCATGTCACTGCATCCAATTGTATTTATCTGAACAATATTTTAAAGTAATCTTGATTTATAATTTTGAAAAAATAATTTATTGGCTAAACACTGCAACATCTTGAAAGAGACTTACCTGTATAAAAAGGGATCTTCTATTGGGAGAAGAGGCCAGGTATCCCAAAATATTCTGTAGTAATAAGTTCTAAACAAAATAAAGAGACATACAGTACATGAAAAGTATATATTGCATTTGATAGCATTTAAAACACACCCTCCAACTTTTCACTTATATGCCCAAGAGATATATATTTATTAAGTTGTTCAGAAAATAATGTCCAATTTTAGAATCAATCTTTTTTTGCTGAATTAATATATTTAAACAGTGTTTAAACAAATCAAAATAGGAAACTCTGAACATCTATACAGTTCTAACATTAGGTTACAAGGTAATGCCTTTACAATATAAAGCTATAAAAGTTAGGGTGCCAAGAAATCTTTGAATGCAGATTCTGCATCTTCTTCGCAACAAAATGTCTTTTGGCTTTAAAAAATTCTCAAGATGCTTGAAAAGGTGATTGCCATTGGTTGAGAGATTAGGGGAATTTGGCATCTGAATATGGATTAGACATTTTTGCCTATTGTCTGGTTCACACTCCTCTGTCTTTTGAACAGTATTAGAAGTTTATCCCTTGTTTCCTGTTTAGGATTGGGTCTCCAATTACTTCTCTTAAAGTTTTCTCATTTTCTTTCACCAAAAAGAAACATGAGTATATTATTAGAATAGATTGAAAAAAGAAAAAAATTAACATTTCAAAATGTCTGCCAACCTTTTCAAAAAATCTGTGTAGCAAAACTTTAGTGCATAATAGATATTTTACTTTTGGAACTTCAATCACTGCATCACCAAGAAATATTTCAACAAGGCCATACCTAAAAAGAAATAATAAAATAAAATAATATATGTGTGTGTGTGTGTGTGTGTGTGTGTGAATGTGTAAAAATTCAGATATAAATAAAATATATCTTTAAAAAGACAGTATAAATAAAGACAAGAGGAAAATATTTCTTTACAAATGTGTTCTGTCCTCTGATGGAATTTATCAAGGTAAATATAAAGATTTTATTTCGAAACATGTATTTATAAACAGAAGTAAAAAAAATATTGTTAAATTAGCAGTATAACCCGTCTTCGACCGGATCTTTCATTATTGGGATTTTTTGTCGTTCAATTGGAGCAGTTTAAGTTTAAAGACAGCCCACCCAAAAATCAATATTAGTAACATTTAGGTGCAACTGAGGCACATCCCCAAATGGGCGGTTAACAGTTTGAATGGGGGAGGGGGTGCTGAAAAAAGCCATTTTTGCGTTCTCAATCTTGCGTTCTTGTTTAACATGGAGACTGATACCTTTGGCTAAATGTTTAAGACTATGGAGAAGGCTTCCTGCTTGGATTATTAGATTAGAGAGAAGTGCTAAACCATCAGCATAATCTGCATCTGTGATTTTTGATTTACTATAGAGAAATGCATTGAAAATCCAAAAGAAAGGGATTGTCAGTGGTCAGAGAAATTAATGCAAGTGTTACTAACAGAATAAGGCCATTATATAATTATCCTTATGATCATTATATAACTATCACTATGATCATTATATAATTATCATTATGATCATTATATAATTGCTGAGCAAATATTATTAAAACCTATCCAAGCAAAAAGAGAAATCTTTAACATTTTTCTGAATGACTAGATTTTTTTTTATATTCTTACCATGGAAGTTTTGCTAGCAGTGGTATAAGCACAGATTCGATTCCTCGGTCAGAACCGCTAACCACAAGTCTTTTACAAATACGACGCCAAATAAAATCTGTTTTTACATATTTCAAAAACTCTGGAAGAATTTCATTCCACAGCTCATCTGGAAAAAAGAAGAAAGTTACACTGATTGTTAATATTATGTTATATTAATATTATATTATATTGATAATTATGGAGTCATTATGGATCTCTGGTGTCAGTGGCTTCTTTGGTCTTTTCAGGCATCAAATCTTTGTGTAAAAATGCAATCATGCAAATAACTTTTAGATTACAGTTATAATGAATTTTGAGGTTGGTATTAAAATATAAGACCAGCAAGTCAGTATCCTTTTTTAAAAAGCTTAGAACATTTTTAATACATAGTACTTGAGAAGAAACTTAGAGTTGCAAAATCATATGAATGTATTAATTCTAAATTACAAAGATGATTAGAACTAAGGAATTTTATCATCCAGCATTTCTGAAGTATACTATATTTTTTTTTACAATCTTTTAACTCCTCTCTGGCCTTTTAGCAAACTTAAATAAGCTTAGTAAATATCTGTAGTAGTAAAGGAAGTAAATTCAAGCATGACAACATAGTTTTGTCTGCAAAAAGGGTGATATCACAAACACACACAAAAGGTTCTCTCAGAACAAAAACACACAGCAAACAGTTCATAAGGTTGTACTATGATTCATACACTAGATTATTTGAAGTGTTCGAAATTGATTTTACTAATTCCACAACCTGAATTTTTATGCTGGATTCAGGGCTGGTGCTACCGCTGCTTTCATTCCAATTCCAGATCTAGATGGGTGAGTGCTTGGGAATACCACATGCTTTAAGTTTGGATGTGCGGGTGGTGTAATGAATAATGGCTGGGAATTGTTAATTAGAGAGAAGAGTTCCAATTCCCATTGGATTCATTATATTTAAGTGCAAATACCCTTGGGAAAGGTATGACTCCACCTATTCTCCCCACCCCACTCCAGCTATAGGTTAAGTAGTTAGATTGTATCATGAAGAAAAAAATTCTTAGAATCTAAAATATTTTCAGATTTTAAATAACCTGCAAATGGTTGATAAGCCACAAAAAACAAATCAATCAATTTCAGATCATAGTTTCTGTTTTGGAAACATTTATCTTCGAATGTTTATTTGAGGCTAATAAACTTTTATAATCAATACAAAAATTATAACCCTTAGACACCATGATCTTCAGTTCTTTCATTTAAACTTGAACTAAATTTGACATGATAAGTGTAAAAAAAAAAAAAATTTTTCTTACCTGCAAACCCTGAGTAACAGATATTCCTAAAAAGTTGGGAGACAAATTGTAAGGAACAGTCTGTAGAATTTCTTAGGTAGGCATGAACTTTGTGTAAGACTCTCAGCAAATCTTGGGCCAGCAGAGTTGTGTAAGGTACAGGATAAAACTGTAGGCTGAAAGAAAAAATATTTGATCTACACTTGACCCCAAATTCATAATTTTATTCAGTATTACTGTCTCTCATATTTCCAACACCACATAACATCCAGATAATACACAATACTCGTTTTGCTGTTTCTCATTTTTACAAGTATTTTTGTATACATAAATGTAATTATTTACTCAAAGTTATAACTCCCCTAACAAAGGTAATAAGAGGTTTCTGTGGAACAAGGTAACTAAATGTTTCTATGGAACAAGGTAATAAACCATTTCTGTGGAACATGGTGTTATAAAATAAGGCAAGGGTGTGCTGAGGATAGGGAGAAACACTTAACTGATTGTTTTCTTAAGAATTACAGGGTAAGAGGCAGAGAAAGGAAAGAGACAGGAGGAAATAAAATAAAAATGAATAATGACTAGTGAAGCCACTACCTCAGAAACCACAGCACAGCAGGTGGCACACAATTTCCAGAACAAAATGTACCAAGGAAATGACTTCACATGACACTGAGTCTTGCCAACTGCCCACTGTTCATGTTCCCATCATTTTTATTGACACAAGACAGTTGACAAAGACCTGGCTCTGGACAAGTTGCAGAGAGGCCCATATCTGGACATGACAAACTGGTCTGCTGCTAATGGGGAAAACCCAGATGTGACTAGCTTTGACAAACTTGGGGCTTCTTTTGGGTCTGTACTGATTTGCATTCATCACACAAAGTAATAAGAAGTTTCTGTGAAACAAGGTAATAAGAGGTTTCTTACCTGTTTTGATCTTTTAACTTGTTAGCTGTTTTGCTCGGAAGTGAAACGATTGCAGTGATAAGTTCTTGGTGGAACTGTTCTTCAAGCCTGTGTTTCTTATTATCTACAATACATTCTGTCCAGATTATATCCACCAGTCTATGTTCTTTCAGCAATTGTTCCAATAATGATACACATTTATTCACTTGGTAACCAAGACTAAAACAGAAAAATAAAGATTTTAATATTTTCCTAGTGTCTAGTTTTAAATTCTTGACAGCATTAATAAATTTTAAATTTTTTCTAAATCTTTCAACAAATTTTAACATACATACCTACAAAAATGAATGACTCAAACCAAAAATATGCAGAAATTTATAAACACTTTTGTTAAAAATGCAATGGATGTGGGGCTGATAATGATTATGATTTATATATCTAAAACAATGGGCATGGCCACTAATAAAGATAATGCTCCTTTATGAAAAAAACAATTCACCAAGTAACTGAATTTGTTTATCTTGGCCTCAGGCTTTCGTCATCAATTATGGTTCAGTTACTGTTCAGTGCAGAATCAGTCTTGGCTGGGCAGTGATTGAAAAGAATGAATCCCTCTTAATATCCTCTTGTATTCTCTACAAAATCAAAGCTAACATTAAAAACATATATTCTCTCTGTAGTGCTTTATAGCCTGGATTGTGTAAACTTGACTATGACACTTTGATGAGGTGTAACGGTTGAAAAACTTGTGTCACTAGATCAGTAGTGAATTTGATCATCACTGGGTGCTCCATACTTACAATCTTGTGCCACATTCAAGCATATCTTAAATCACTATAACACTCCTGGCCAGGTATTTCAACTTCAGTCACTTTCTCACTGATGTAACATGGCTTCTCTCTATATTTTCTACAAATATTTTCATGGCACTTGTTCTGAGCTTTTTTCGCCTGATACCTCGACTATATGAATTTAAACGTGCTACTAGATTGGCAATTAGGTCTCACCATATTACTATTGGGCTAGCTAGATGCAACTGCTACTTCTCTAACAGCTTCTTTTCTCTTTGCTTTGGAACTCTCTTCCATTTCTTTAAGCAGAAAAATACACTGTATGATTGTTCAGTTACTGTTCAACATAGAATTGGTCTTGGCTGGGAAACGTTTGAAAAGAACAGATCCCTCTTAATATCCTCTTGTATTCCCTACAAAATCCAAGCTAAAACACATTCTCACTGTACTGCTTTTGGTAATATTTGCTAGCTTTTCTTTTCAGTGTCAGAGAGAAGGCATGTAACACAATTCTACACTATGCTAGCATGTTGTTTTTGTATGAAATAAAACCTTCATCTATGTTCTTTCAACTTTTCCCCAGCTGTTCATTTTTTCGTTTTTAATGTTTGGGAAAATATCTTTACCTATGGCAGGAATTATTAAGCAGGATGTCCACATATATTTGGTAAATCCAACAATACAAATCAGACTGTAGATGACATTGGAATTGTGTATTATGCAGTGACCCACAGAATATTTTTCATCTTTATTTATGATTAACATTAAATATTTATGTGAAACCTTAGCCTTTTTTGATATTCTACAGGGTGTTCCAAAAGTTGCATTATCATTGATAACCTTGTAAATTTTATATTTATTTACCAAATGGAGTCATGTTTCTGTATGTGACAATATATTAAGAAATTTTATTGGTCAAATTATGGAAGATGATGTCATGCAAATTTTCCCTGGTTGCTATTTCATGGGTGTACATTTTATGCTAATTGTCGCATGATTTTTGAAACACCCCATAAAATAGATGTATTGTAAATTTAGAATTTGAAAAAAATATATTTATCAAGATTAGGAATTATTTTTTCTGAAAAACAAAGATAATCTTAAAAAGCTGAATTAAATTAAAATTTAATAAAGATATTTTGTTGTCATTATCGTAGCCTCTTCGCTACTCCATTCATGTGATCATGGCGGATGCAATATTTCTACAAGACCTTGACCCTTTTCTTCATTTCAGTTAAGTTTATTTAGATTTATAATCAACCTAATTTCTCTTTAGTTGCTTGATTATTTCTAACATAATACACTCATAGGGAACAGTCTATAATACCTTTTATATTTTATAGCAACTCAGGGATTTATTTTCTTTAGATTTTAAGTACTTAGCAAGCCCTGGATTTGTTATTTATAGCCCTTATTTGTCATATAACCCCACGACTTTTCACCAATCTAGTAGGATGAGGGAGGAGATAAAATGCAGGCCCTGTGGGTCTTTGTGACCAGTGGGGGGCCTGAATGGGTTCTGTATTGAATTACAGCCCATTTATTTTTGTTCTGCCAACTGGATGCTAGTTAGAAACTTTCCTATCCCCTCTTACTTCCAGCAATCTTGGCCTTACTATTTCCAGCAATCCTAGTCTAAACTATTTCCATCTACCATCTTGTGGAATCTTACTTCTGGCATTCCTGGCCTTTGCTACTTCTGGCTACCACGGATGCCTTATCTTCTGGCATTCCTGGCCTTTACTTCAACCTAACTCACCTGGTTGATCTGCATTGATGGACCCACTTACAACAGTCCTGAACTTCTGGCTATGCATTGGTTCCTCATCTGGTTTCTTTAGGAAGTTGTTGCATGCATATCGTCCAGATTTCAAACAACCTATTCTCTATACTTAGCTTGAATACTACAGAAGGTTCATCATTGGACTTAACCAGCATCGACCTGGTTACTAATGCAACATTACCATTATTTTCTGCTGTAATAGTTAATTCATACAATCAGATATTCCTCCTGACATCTTTCATTTAGGGTCAAACTGGAAGCTTATTCAACAGTTATTTATGTTGATCTAGTGACCATCATTTCTCAACGCTTTATCATAGATTTTGTCAATGCCTGTACCGGTCAGTACAGCTATTTCAGCTTATCTTAAACTATCAACTTCCGGTGTTTACTGTCAACCTAACTCACCTGGTTATCGTCCAGACTTCAACCAACCTATCCCGTACACTTGGATTAAATACTACAGAAGGTTCATTGTTGGAGTTAACCATCAACTATGCCATGCCAGTACCAGACATTTAAATTGAAATTTCTTGTCTTTGGCTATATCATCCAGACTTCAACCAACCTATTTGATACACTTTGGTCAAATACTATGCAAGGTTCATCATTGGATTTAACCAGACTTAAATTATTGGACTAAAATGCTTTCACCAGACATTTAAACTGAACTTTCAAACTATGGTTTTTCATACCAACTTAACTTACCAGGACTCTATCTTTAACTCAGTCACAGCTATATTATCCAAGTTCTTTTATCCAATCAGTATCCCTCAATTTAATTGATTCATCGTTTGTTCATATTCCTTTAATCGAAACTCTGCTTTTGTATATGATGTAAATAAATTTGGTATTTTAAGTTTGTCGTTTTGTTGTCCTCGTGTTGACCTGTCAGATTTCACGTCTTTTATCTTTAAATGTTAGTGGGCCTCTTGTCACTGTTCTTTTGGGGGCACACAGGCCATTTCATATCATGCCCCCTCCAGGGTGTTTACTACATCATAAATAAATAACAATTGAATAAAAATGAGAAAAATTAAATAACTTTTTAGAATATTGTTAAAAAAAAAAAAAAAAATAGACAACGCCTAATTTGGTTTAAAAATACAAAAACATTTACAAATCTGTAGAGAATTTTTTTCCAACATGACTGACAAAGAAAGCAGCAAAAATCCTTCTTTAAAAAAAAAAAAAAAAAGATTAATGTTTTCTTGGCTTATTATTTCCTTTTTTTTTAAGATATAGAGAACCAATTTACTAGGACCAGTGTCTTCATCTTTGTTGTATTGTCACGTTTCCGGCCGTTGTAATTCCCGATCTTCTTCAAAGTGTTTGCCGTTTTTTAATCTTCCGGGATAAAAACATTGAGGTTGTGTGTTACCTTATGTCGCATCCAGTTTCGGTGGGGAGACATGGGTAAAAATATCTGTGTGTCCAATCTTTGGACAAGTAACATAACATCACAAGGATGAAACGATACGATAAATCCTCTATACACCGGAATGAGGAAAAATTACCACCTTGAATGAATAGGGTTCAGTTCTAAAAAAAAAAAAAGACCATAAAAAAAAACACACATAAAAAAACCTAAATAAACTGTTAGTAAATAAAAGAGTTAATGACTGTTGGTTTCCGTAGTTTATAGGAAAAGGCGAGGGGGTAGTGCCGGATTTACCTACAGGCTAAAGGCCTGCAGGGGTCGGCAACTCATTCGACACCGCGGGCCGGATCGTGTTAATGACGGGTCGCGGGTCGGACGAAGGCCATTAATGAAAAATTATGGAAAATTATATATGCAGACCCCTGTCAACCTAAATATTAAATTTAAAACCATAATGAAAATAAACATTGAGAAATCAGAAAAACAAAAGAAAATCTAAAATTAAAAAACACCTAACAAAAATTACGTTTCCTCAAGGAACGTTGAAAGTGAAAAAAAAAAGTGAAAAAAAATCAACCGAAGTGAAATGGATGAAATTATGACGTGTAGGTTTGAAACTGTTATTGAAAATTGTTCCACAAACGAACCACACACACACACATCAAACAAAAACGAAGCACATACCCATACATACGAGTACAAATAGTTGCAAACATACACTTACGTACGTACACATGCGGTATCAATCCACACATTCATGAGGCATGTATGTATAATGCGCGTATGTTTAACCCTTTCTGGCCTCTTTCACTTTATCGTTCCTTTCGCTTCTGTTACCTTGTAGCCAGGGGTCATAACAAATATGTATCCATTATTTGAAATTTAAATGTAATCAACGCAACTTGGTAAAATAAGTAAGTCTCATGAAAGAAAACTGGCTCGCGGGCCAGTCAAGATGTCTTTGCGGGCCGGATCCGGCCCGCAGGTTGCCGACCCTTGGCATAGGGCCTCAAAATCTAGGGTGCCTCCAGTCAAGGGGTTTTGATACTGACATAGGCACTTTTCTTACTTACACATGCTGTCATAACGCATTGTAGACTCTAAATAATACTGCAATCATTTTAAAAGTAAACACCCGTCATCATCCTCGATTTTTTTACTTAAATATTGTTTAATAATTTAAATTTTTTAAACACTCTTCCATTTTCCTCTACTAGTGAGAATTTGGGATGGGGCCTCACAAGAGGAATAGACTTAACTTTAAGACCTCCCTTCTAAAAATCCAGCCCTAGGGATCGACAGTTTAAAAATTTTTTAATACTGACCCCTCTTCTTTTAATTTTAATTTAAAATTAAAAAAGTTATAGGCATCACTAGTCATCCAGGCCTCGAGTGACGTCGGTGAAATTAAAACAAAAATACATTTTTTTTTAATAAAAAGAAAAGAAAAAGAGACTTACCTGGAAGTACTAATACGTCGTAAAAGTACCAGAAATGATCCAGCATGGTTTCCGTGGAGAAAGATGGATAACAGCGAAACCTGGACCTTATTTTTGTTTAGTTTATCAACCCAGTCAAGTGTCAGTTTGTCCAACAATAAATCAGCAAACTTTGAATAATGATCCCTAAGGAAATGTTCCCTGGCCAATCGCCGATCCGCTGTCGTGGGGAAATACTGGAAAACAAGAGACCAACCACTTTCCGAAGGGTTTCCTGACGTTTTTCTAAATTCATCTTCTTTGGCTGGCGGTTCGGAAGGTGATCCCATTAAAATGATCACACTTTCAAGGGCCGAGTGAACAAGAGCCGGTTCGTTCGCATCAAAAGATAAACGAACCTCCTTTAAATAATTCCGAATCTTCGTATCCACACTTACATTATTCATATCAGTAGCCGACATCATAATAGTTCCAGGGTTACAAACAGATACAGTAGGGATTGTTCAGTAATCTCTCCTCTTCGACTGGTTAGGCGCTGATACAAACAAAAAGTCACGTGGTAAGTTCATTCAGACAGTGCCGTAAACGAGTCTAACGTCTCTGTAAACACGAAGAAAATAAGTTTAATAAATATATTAATTTACATAGAAAGTACTTTGTACTTAAACAATAAACAGTCCTTTTCTAAAGATTTATACACGAAGGAAAATATTGTCGCAAAATTAGTTTCCACAACGTCCATCTGTTCAACAGCCAAAGAAAGTAAGGTGGCCTTATCGTATCATAATTTTAAAGAATTTCGATATGTTTTTTGGGGTTTTTTTTGTTCATGTATCGTTTTTTAAGAGATGGACAGTTAATAAAATGACATATGAACATTCATTGCATTTATATATGCAGATATAGTTGTAGAGTACCTCCCGTAACACTATATTTTTTTCATCTTGCTTAGCTTCTTACATTTATTACAACAAAAACCAATTTGATAGTGGAGTGAACTTGGTTCTCTTTGGGTTCCCTATAATTGTAGTCTTGTGCCAGACTAAGTTAAGTAACCATAGTATCTTTATTCAAATACACTTACATTATACAGGGTGACCCCAAAAAACGGGAATTTTTGAAGTGCGTATTGCCAGACATGAGCAAGTGACAACACTGCGAGACAGTTACCTTGAGCAAGTAAACATTTCGTCATTTTAGTAACTATGGATCAGTGGAACGGACAACAACGTGCGTTAGTCATAAAAATGTTTTATAAAAACGGTGATAGTTTGACAGCTGCACAGAGGGAGTTCCGACGTTTTTACAACTTAGGACGTCATGATGCTGTTCCATCAAAACACGCGATAAAATGTTGGATTAATAACTTTGAAGAGACTGGATCTGCCCTAAAGAAGACACCAACAGGACGACCAAGAAGTGCTCGTACTCCACAGAACATTGATGTTGTACGCGAATCTGTCTCGCGGAGCCCACAGTGTTCAATTCGTAAGCAAGCAGCTGCGGTTGAAATGTCCCGGGAGAGTGTTCGCAGAATTCTTACTTTAGATTTGAATTGTACCATAAATAAACCAAAAAAAAATACTGAAGATTAAAAAAACATTACCTGTTTTTTTTTTTTTTCACTGTCATTATTTGGACTTTTTTATTTTTTTAGGACATGTCTCATATTGGATAATTTTTCACCCTGTCCCGTTACTGACTTTTCAGAGATACCCCAAAAATGTTCTGTATTTAATTCATTTTCAAATTTCATAATAAAAATATATTTTTTTTACAACCTTCTTACGGTTCTTGGTTGTAAGTAATTATACTTCCTTTTCTCAGATTCTCTTGATACACACACACACACACACACACACACACACACACAAAAAAAAAAAAAAACTGATGCGTTTATTTCTCTGTTCTGTGTATTAAATATTTTCAAATATTTTCACTTTTACAGAATTTCTTTTGTATAAAATAATTTTCAAATGATTTTACTTTTATTTTCCTCATAGCTCATTAAAATCATTGCTTTATGTTATGTCTTTCCTTTTATTATTGGTCTGGGTGTGTCAGCATGTATAAATTTTATATATATATATATATATATATATATATATATATAATATTAGTGGAAAATATACATACATAATAAAAAAATATATCTAAATTTTGAATTTGTAGGTCTGATGATTTGGATCATATTTACGATTCCAATGGAATAAATTATGACCATGGAATATTAGTGTTTAAGCCTTTTATTATATATATATATATATATATATATATATATATATATATATATATATAGAGAGAGAGAGAGAGAGAGAGAGTTTTAAGAGTGTTTAGAGGGCCGTGGGGGTTTAAGTGTTGTTGAATTAGAAACACGTGCTGTTTATTCCTGCTAGAACATTCAACTACAAGGACATGGCAGACTCAAGTTGAGTCCAACCAAAGATGTAAAGAAAACAAACAAAACCCATATACATATGTCAACAAATATATGTATCAAACAACAAAGTGACAAAGATATTAACATTTGTGTTTGTGTGTGAACGTAAAGAGTTTGTATGTTGGTGAAAGTTTGTATGTACATGTATGTGTGTTTCATGGCGTTTTCCCATAAGTGGGCGAAAACGCTGATTTCTATGAGAGGTTACATTTTTAAATGTGTCTGCTGAAATGCAAAGTAGAAAAGAGAACGAGGCAAGAAGTCGCCCAGTATTTATAGTGTAGGGAGAGCGACCTCTAGTGACAATTAGGAAATTAAGGTGGAGGTAACTCCGACAAGTGCCTCGTATTTCTAATTTTCTAATCTGGCAACTCTATTCTAGTTGGATTAAAAACAGTACCAAATAAAACTGACACATGTAACTGACTGGTTATCAGTAGAGGTGAAAGGAAATGTAATAAAATTCAACAAGGTGGTATTTTCATATAACTATTAACTAATTAACAAAGGAGAGAAAATATACTTGTATACATGTAAATATATCTGAAAAGAAAGAAGACCTTAAAAGTTAGCATTGAGGAATTGTGTGTGTATGCATGTGTGTGTGCGATACATATATTTGTGTGTGTGTGAAAGAGTTCAGTCACTTGAGGGAAATATATCACCATGCTGAGGACAGGTTCTGTGTTGGTGTTGTCATTATAGCATGCTGAAAAGAAAGAAGACCTTAAAAGTTAGCATTGAGGAATTGTGTGTGTATGCATGTGTGTGTGTGCGATACATATATTTGTGTGTGTGTGAAAGAGTTCAGTCACTTGAGAGAAATATATCACCATGCTGAGGACAGGTTCTATGTTGGTGTTATCATTATAGCATGCTGAAAAGAAAGAAGAAAAAAGAGGAAAAACAGGAAGTGTCACATTTTTATAACAAGTTAACAGTGCCACCTAACAACATCTTAGCAAATCTGGCAAAGCCAAGTGGGGGTAACCTAGAGACTACTATCCTCATTTTCATTGTTTTGATTTTGGTTAGTGAACTCTCTGGCATTTCTCAGGTATGAGTCATTTTTTTAAATCTTCAGTATTTGATTTTTGTTTTCCACACTCTGCTATTTCATTTATTCACATGATAAATATACTCTGCTGGTATGATGAAATGGTTGTAAAGAGATCATGATTATCAAGTAAGTAAAAGGAAGCCACTAGCTAAAAAATATTGATCAAAATAACAAAAGTAATTTTGATCAATATATTTTAGCTCGTGGCTTCCTTAACTTACTTGATAATCATGATCTCTTTTCAAAGATACTATTATTGTATGTAGGCTGTTTGTCCCTTTACATCAAAATCATTCAAAACTTCCATTCAATCAAATGATTACTGTTAATCTTTAACATTATGATACGATGAGGCCACTTTACATTTACATTCAATGTTACAGTTATTATAGTTTTTTCTAATCATTTCACCCTAAGCAAGCCACTAATTTGCAGGGGATTACTGAGTGTGAGAGAATATGAGAAAAAGAAAACATGATGAAGAGAGAAATATAAAAGAATAGGAATTAAGAAGACAGAAGATAATGATTGACATTACATTAAATTTTTAAAGATCAAAGTTGGCTGGAAAGTAAGTATAGTGAAAGAAAATAAGAAAACTTTAGTGAGGGGAAAGGACAATAAAAGAACAGGAATTAAGAAGACAGAAGATAATGATTGACATTTCATTTAAAGTTTTGAAGATCAAAGTTGACTGGGAAGTAAGAAGCCAGAAGAGAGTTCCACAAGAGGAGTGCAAGAGAAGAAACTGTTAACATAGAACTTGCAGTTACTTCTAGCCATTTCAGCTTTTGTGTTTTGAGTGGTGGGTGCCTTTAAGTGCGAGCCACATCTAAGAATTTGTACACTAAAATTAGTTCAACTCATTTTTATAAGGAAGGCCCAATAATTTTTGGAAGGTGACCCTTCCATGGCAACAGGTATATATATGAGACTTGAAAGATATTGTTTTTAGTCATTTGGTGTAAAAAAATATCTTATATGCCATCAAATATGGTACATGTTTTTAAAAATTTCTTCCCAAGAAATGCAACAAAGCCACTAAGATTCAAAGGATTACTGAATGTTAGAGAATATAAGAAAAAAATAACACTCTAAAGGAGATATTTTGATAGGTGTCTAATAAAAGGGGAGATCTTAAAAGAATTTTTTTAATATCCAATAAATGGGGTGGAGGTCTTAATAAAAGCAAGTTGGAAAACCATTTAAAGTGTCAAAAATTTAGAATTTAAGTAAAGAATCTTTTTTTGAGAACCACTATGGTAACATCCAATTTTGTCCCAAGAACTTCTTGCCCTTTTTGATAAAATAGTAACACAAGTAGAAAACTGTGGCACAACTTAATTGGTAAGCTTAAAAGCTCTTAAAAATACTATTGAAAGTGATAACTCTGAACTTCAGAAGTCTAATTTCATAAATACAAAACGGTTTTAAGAGAAGGATTTTATAAATTTCAACTGTCAGTAACATTAACTATTCAGTCAATGAATGCTAAATGTTTCCTGTGTAGGGATGTAAAGGGTCTTTTTTTTTTTAAAACAGTAATGTTCACCCTTTACAAAGCCCAGGGGTCACTCGATATAGAGGGTTATGTTAAGAAGCAGTTTGTACGATAACTGTTAACTCTAGACTTGAACAGGTTAAGAAGAAGATTGTAGTGATCGGGAAAGAGCAGTGGTTCACAGGAAAGTTTTACTTTTAAACGCTATATTAAAGAAGCAAACATTTCTCCGTAAATGAATTTAATTACTAACTATTTTGAAAGAGAGTAGAAGCAAGATACATTGAGAATTTAATTTTGAACATCGATTATGTTTAAATTTCAAGTTATTTGTATTTGAAAAGAAAAAAAAAACTTTAGTTAAATAAACATTAGGGGAGACACAAGTTACGGTCAATCTTAGTCATGTTGAATATTTGTTTTTTTACGAATTTAACTATATTTTATTTAAATTAGGGTGTCTTTTTTAAATAAAAATATGGGGATGCTCAGCCCCCTAATACCCCCAAGCGTGGTATTGGTAGTGTGGTGTTTTCCTAAATTTAGTTATTTTGTAACAAACCAAAAAAACAATGAAGTTTATTTTTTAAAGATTGAATAAAAATTATTTTCCATAAGATGGCTGAAAAATATCAATAAATTGTCAATAATAAACTATTATTCAGAGATGTTCCGTGCAACGACGGGTATCCCCTCTTGTCATGTTTAAAGGAAGCCAACCAAGAAAAACTTATTGCGCATAGTTCGTTTATTTCCGTTTGGCGCCGGATATTACCGACTATTCACCAGAGGTCGCTAAGATGGCGTCTGCAATATCGTTGAAGGTGAGGTGATTTTTACACCATAATTAGTCCAGTTTTTGCAAGATTTTCGAGCACCTTATGAATTATAGAATGTATGTTAGAAAAATTTTCGTTTTCCTATCCTTGTAGTGCTTCTATATATTAGCCATTGTCCCGACATTTTTGTTTTTCTTTTATGAATATTTCAACAAAGAAAGTTGTTTTCTCTTTTTCGACCGCCTCGTAAACACGTGTCATGGATTCTAAAACAATGATGGGACTTCGAATTCAGTTCTTTCTTTTTCGACGATTATTACTTTCTTTAACATTGTCTCCTCAGTTTTATTGTGACGTTGTTGACATTTTTGTAGAGACCTATGGTATTTTAAAATATTTTAATTTATAATACAACTTTTGTTTTCACTCAGAAGATTTTTAAAGAGATTTTTCCATGACCTGATCCGATTACATTTGTTATTTATTTATTTTTTTAAATAACTCTTGTGACGATTACGACTGGTCACACTGAAGAAAAAGCCCCCTCCTCCCCGTTCTTCTTAGCAAGTACAGGTTGGTCCGAAAGTCTTGTCACGCCCTAGTAATGAGAACAATAGAAGAACAAATAACACAGCAGTTCAAAGCACATGTAGAAAATTATATTATGTAGGGGTGATAAAACTTTCGGACCACTATGTACTTCAAATTTTCTGATAATACATATGGTATGAAATTTCTTTTCTTTGAAGTTTTGAAAGCAGTACGAAGTGGGTTACACAGCACTGAAAGAGTCTGATTACATGAAAGGATCTACACAGCAGAAAAGTACACCCCCAAAATTGGTCAAATACATGTAAAAGTACATGAGCATCAGGAACAACTAACACACACACAGTAGAGGCAAAACCTGTCTTGATTTAAAATAAAGTCCAAGTTCCAAACATAAGAAAGCACTTGTTTTATTTTTTTGAACCCAACAAATTTAAGGAGAAACGACTGAATTAAGGAAAGAACATTTTGTTTGATCAAGAACTAGAATTTGAAAGTCTAGAGAGAAATTTATTTTTCTTATTTTTTTTTAAAACAGAGAAGACTTGCAAGGCGGCGGGAAGCGATTATCGCGTGCAGCCTAATTAAAAAAGGCAGAAAAAATACATTTTCCTGTTCAAAGTTTATCGAAATTAAGCACTTGTTAAATTTGAATGTTATTTTTTTTTTTTTTTAAATTTTGCTTTGCATCTTTCAATGCCCTGACGTCATAATTTGTCATCAACCAGAACAGCTTTTTATGTCACGTCCTTACCAGGTTTTCTAATTATGAAAACTTTTCTTTTTATTTAATTAATACATAAATCCTAGAAAGAAACAATTTTGTTATTTTCGGCATCAAATACCATTATTAAACAAATGTTCTCTGGTAACCTAGTGAAAACACTTAAAAACAACAACTTCCGTACTTTTTAGTTAGACTTCCCCCTTCCCCAATAAAACAACTGGGGAAAGAGCCTGAACGGGATCATGTGATTTATTTAAATTTTCTCTCAAGTGCCCGTTTTAAATTTACCATTTTTCTGTCCGTCGACTTTGTCCTGAACATTTTCGTTTTGTTAGTTCATGAAATTATTTTCTATATACAGGTTAACTGGCCCTTTGGCGTGAGAGAGTGATTGGCCATTCCCATTTATTGTAGCAGTGAGTTCGATCCTCACTAGGTGTCCTATAATTGTGCTGACACTAAGCTACTTTTTGTTTAAGTGACAACAATCGTTTGAACGTATTTGTGTGCATCTTAGCATTTATTTTACGCAAGTCGCAAAGTGCTTTTTTTTTCTTTTTTTTTTATACAAACTGTCAAATCGATTTTTTTGAGCATTTGACCTTTTTTTCTCCTCTTTTTTTAATTAAAAATTTTCAATTAAATCTGTTTTTATTCTTTGAGAACTTTTTTTTTTTTTTTTTGACATAAAGTTGAAAATACCCTCTCCTCATATATCTCTCTCTTCATACGATATTTTTAAATTCAAACACATGGTGTTGAAATTATCGAACACTACCAGAATAATAGATTCTTTTTTGTGGCGCGCGCGCACATACACACACAATGCTAATTGTTTGAGCACCTGATTAGTGCTTATGTTGGACTTCCTTACCACCAAAATGGATGCGTTTTTTGGGGGCGGGGGTCTGAAATAAAAGCAAAAAATCGTTACCTTTTTCGGAGTTGGTGCTTTCACCATAATGGAACGCATTTTTCTTTAGAATTGAATTAAAAAAAAACTTGTTGATTTAATTTAAAAAAAAAAATACTTGTAATTTTCCAGTGCGATTTTGAAGTTCTTCCTGTTGTTAAAGTGTTTTTTTTTTTTTTTTTTTTTATTAATTAAAGACTTTGAAGAATCAACAAAATTGCAAAAATTTAAATGTCAATTTTCCTATATGAACCTTTTTTAAAAATTTTTTTTTAAGCAATTTAGATTATTTTTGTATGTATGTCCAAAAAGGAAATAATTCTGAATTTCCGCCTTTGACTACTTTTCCTTATAGGAAGAATTTAATAAGTCAATAACTGCTAAATTCAGAATGATTTAAACAAAAAAAAAAAAATCACATTGAATGCAGTTAAAATAAATATATGGAAAGAGGTTGAGCAGTACAATATAACAGACATGGGAAATAGAACAAGAACAATCTACTCCTGTAAATTAAAGGGTCCAGTTTGCAATGCCCTGAAGTTTACTTGAATTGACAAACACCTGATGAAGGCCAAAGAGCACAACTGCTGAAACAATGAAGATTAGGTTATTAAACTCAGTGTAAATGATAACTAGTCATTCCAGAAATACAGCACTATTGAAGAGCTGAAGCAGGATATATGGGGGGGGGGGGAATCTCTCAATAAACCCACTCAAAATGGTGCTTTTCAGATTTTGAAAGCAAAAGAAACCATAAAATTAGGTACAAAAATTTTCTCAAAAAAAGACTACCATAATGAAAAAAAAGCTTCAATTTTGATAAAATTATATCATCGATATGTGTTATTATTAAGTAAGACCAAAGTATTTTTATTATTTTAAATTTTTTAAGCCTTTCTAGCATGTTCGAAATTTTGCTTAAAGACCTAGTTTTTCTTGTGTCATCGGGTGGGTCAAGGATTACTATGGGGATTTTTTAATGTGTGTGTTTTCTTTTTTTTTTTTTTTTTGTTTTTTTTGTTAAAAGCACATTGTTTTGGAAACTTGTAAAAATAAAATTATATTAAATTTTAATGAAATTTTCAGGACTTATTCACAAATGAATGAAAATATTTTTTAAGTTTTTTTTTTTTTTTTTTTTTTTTTTTAAAGTCTTGGAAAAAATTTTTTAATTTCAGCCTCTTCATATTTATATTAGTTAAAAGCAGAACACCATTTATCAAAAATCTGCTCTGAACCTTCAATTAAAAAATACAATAAAATTATGACATTATCTAATTAGAAAAGATTTTAATTGCTTTTTTTTTTTTTATAAATGAGATGTATTACAGACACCCTTGTCTTCAGAAAAAAAAATTTTTTTTGATGAATAATGAATTTTTACAAAAATTATTATTTTTTTTTTAATTTTAATTAGAAAAATTAAGTTTTAAATCTTAAAATTCTGTATTTCGGCCTTTTAGATGATATTATTAAGTGAAAACTATATTTAAAAATCATCAAACACCAATATTTTTCACAGAATTTGAAGTTTTTAAGCTACTGTCAAGTTAAAAAATGCACTTCTGCTATATTTTAAATTTAAAGTAATTAATATTTGTTTCAAATCAGATTAATTATACTTTAAATCAGCTAATATTCCTCAAAGTTTCAGAAAAGTATATTTTATTTTTGGAAAATTTTTTTATTAAACAGAAGTACATTGCAATGATAGACAACTATAAAAGGGTGCTAATCAGTTATTTTAGCAAAAAAAAAAATTCTCCCAGTTAATTGAAATTAGTTTTTGAAATACAGCAATGTATTTTGCTTATTGGAAATATTGCATTTAATTTATTGGCTTGAAATTAAAACTAAAATAAGTTCCTAGGAAGATTTTTCATTTTTAAAAATTCATTTTAAACCTGAGATATTACTTTTTTTTTTTTTTTTTTTTTGGTGGAGGTCTCTACATAAAATATTAACTTTTTTTTTTATTACTAAATAATGTTTGTGACTTCTAGTATTGTTTTTATAATAATGGGGTATCTTTTTTTTTTCTTTTTCTTTTTCAGTTTTTAAATTTTTAAGTTCTTTTTCATTAAGAGGCTGCAAACTTGAACCTTCATGCCCCTCCCCCACACACACCTAAAAAAAAAAAAAAACTTGCGTGAAAAAGGTGGTTTTTCCCTTGACACCGCTATTATTTTAGCTACCTTCACTGTTTGGTAATGTTTGTTTTAAAAAATTCAATGATTAGAATTGTAATAAAATCTAAAAAAAAAAAAAAAAAATGAAAATGAATTTATACATCTTTTGTTTTTGCTGGTTCTTGAGAATTGATAACAAAAATATTAAATATTATTTATTACATTGTTTATTTGGAAGAATAATTTTATAATTACAACATTCTAAAAACTAATACAATAGAATATTTATCATTTACCAATTCATAGAAAGAAATATGAAAATGATTTTTTTTTTTTATTCATGAATTTATAAATATTTACTAAATTATTGAAATATGTAAACCAACTGTAAGGAAATCTTATTTATTTTAAGTTTGAATCAATTGGCAATTAACCAATGTTTTGCTAAACATTCCAATAAACAATGTGAATAGTGTTTATTCTTTTTTTTTTTTTTTTTGTTGTAAATTCTCAAGAACAAAGATTTTCTGTGTTTAATAAAATTTCTATTTTAATTTTACTCACATAAATTTGTCTTTCTCTAGGGTTTGGTAGGTCTTGTAACTGGTGGGGCCTCTGGACTTGGTCGGGCTGTTGCAGAAAGATTGATCCAACAAGGTTCTCGAGTGGTACTTTGTGATTTGCCTACTTCTCAAGGCAATGAAGTTGCCAGAACACTTGGAGAAAACTGTGTATTTGCACCTACTGATGTAAGTATGCAAAAAAAAAAAAAACCTGTTAAAAATTTTGTGCTTCTTTCTCTGTGTGTACTGTTTTTTTTTTTTTTTTTTTTTTAGTAGCTTCAAGCCACTAAAAAGTGAGATTGGATATATTTTAAAGACAGCACTTTGTTGTGATGAAAGTGCTTTGTATGGAATGTTTTATGGCTTACAAAGCAAGTGAATACCTGCAGTTAATTTTGTTTTAGATGCTGGCCAAGCACATATTTGTATAAACCTAGAAACTGCTAAATACTTAAAGATGCATTTTTATAAGCCATTCTAAACATCTAGATACTATTCTCTAAGCTTGTTGCCACCCCCACAAAAAATATGCATCTGAAAATAAGTACTTGCTATGCCATTGTAGCCAACATACATGACCATCATCCAAGCTTTCCACTCACATTGCATTTCAATTCTCAATCTCATCAGTGTGCAATTGAAAGCTGGGAAAGTGCTTGTTGCATGCTCACAAAGTAACGACAATGAAAACAAACGCCATGTCGGGAAATGAGAATATGAACCCTGATTCCCCTATTACAGGTAGGTTTTTATTCAGAGCTTTGTCTTGGTGGATAGGTAGGTGACACTTGGAAGAATTTCTACTATGCCAATCTCATAGATCGGCTCTTCCCTTGTCTACCAACTCCTTGCTCATCTACACATCCTGATGTGCGACTGTCAATATGGACAGGTGGCACTGGAACCACACAACGGTCAAGTCCATCTCCTGCCAAGAGCAAACTAGAACTGACTCCCCCAATCCCAAACTTGACCATTTAATATAGACTAGCACATAGAAATAATCAATGTCTAGATCGTTGTTGCTCGGTCTCCAAAAACCCCTCCTCCAATTCTTTACTTCTCTGTTCCTCTTTGGTCAAAGTGGATACTGCTTAGAAGACCAGACTTCAAAAAAGAACTATCTGCTAGCTATAAAATAGAAGCACCTTCCACATTATAGTAGATTTTATGAAAAACTTAAATAACTTGTAATAATCCAATGGCATTCTGTTTTTTGTTTTTTTATAGGAAATTTATTTTAGTTGTAAAGCCACCAAGTGTCAAATAATCCAAAACTTATAATTTTTAGGTTACATCAGAAGGTGATGTGGATAATACCTTAAATCTGACCAAAGAAAAGTTTGGTCAGTTGGATGCTGTTGTGAATTGTGCTGGAATTGGAGTGGCTTTCAAGGTCTACAACTTTAAGAAAGATTTACCCCATAGTTATGAAGACTTCAAGAGGGTTCTTATGGTAAGATTTTTTTTTTTTTTGTTTTAACACACTTTGTAGGAAAATCTTGATGTCAGACTAAAGAAGAAATATCTGAAGAGTTTGATTCAATTAATGGAAACTTCACTATCATAATAGACAAGGTCTTTGTTATTGAACACCTGCACAAACAAAAAATCATTCAACAAGCTTACCAAATAAGTTAAAACTCTAGTAATATTTGAAGGTATCAAACTAAAAGAAAATAGAGAAGGTATTCTTGTCTTAAAAATCAGCTCTCAGTCGTTTTTTGCTTGGTCTCTACTATTAACCATGGCTATCAACTTTATTTTTTTTTTTTTTTTTTTTTTTTTTTTTTTTTTTTTTTTTTTTTTTTTTTTTTTTTTTTTTTTTATTTTTATTTTTTTTTTTTTTTTTTTTTGATAATTTCACCACAAGCAAAGCAATAAAGCCACTAAGATGCAAGGGGATACTGAGTGTTAAAGAATATGAGAAAAAGAAAAAACATTAAGGAGAGAGGACAATAAAAGAACAGGAAAAGATAATGATTGATATTGCATTTAAATTCTTGAAGATTAAAGTTGACTGGAAAGCAAGAAGCCGGAAAAGAGTTCCACAAGCGGGAAGTGCAAGAGAAGAAAATTTTAGCATAGAACTTACGGTTACATCTAGCAGTTTCAACTGTAATATAAGACCTAGCTCCTAATCTAGTACAGTGATTAAATTTGTAAAGTTGAGGTACGCAGGAGGAAAGCTTATCAGAATAATTACCATGAAAATATTTATAGGAAAGGTACATGGAAGCTGTATTACGGGAATGGGAAAGTAACTGAAATTGAGATGCCAGTTCAGGATGGATAACATTGCAGATTCTTATTTGTATTTTTTTTTTTTTTTTTTAATACAACTGAGATTTGGTTCTCATAAGACTGGCATTTTGCATTCTATTTAAGAACTAGAACTTTGTATTGCTTTAAGTCTGTCAGATTTGTCACAGAGACATTCATTTTGTAAACATTCATTCTATTTTGTTGATTTTGTAAAATTACAGGCACAGCTAAAACTACTTGCAAAAATGGGTTTTATTTTGAATTTAAATAAATTGTATTTTGGGTATCTTGTTTTGTTGATAATAGGATATTAATTGTGAATAGGCTATAATTTTAAGGAGGTGCATGCTGGCATTTTAAAATATTCACTTCAAATAACCTAACATTTTCTTTGTACATCATATAATAGGCAAAACAATGATGCCTTCTGTAATTTAATGAATTTGTCTTAGAATATAAAATTACTTCTCTCTACTACAAATGTATATTGACTGTCTTAACATACAAAATTGATTGTATATACATGTGAAATTGTAAAAAAATAAACTGCTGAACTTAGTATATTTGATTATTTTTGTAGAATATGAAATCTACTACATCTGCAACCTTTATTTTCAGGTAAATACTGCAGGGACATTCAATGTGATCCGTCTTGCTGTTGGTTTGATGGGCAAAAACCAACCAAATAATGATGGTCACCGTGGTGTTGTAGTGAATACAGCAAGTGTAGCTGCCTTTGATGGTCAAATGGGACAGGTGGCGTATTCTGCTAGCAAAGGTGCAATAGTAGGCATGACATTACCTTTGGCTAGAGACCTTGCATCTCAAGGAATACGTTGCATGACAATTGCTCCAGGTAAGAAATCTTGTCAAAGATTTTTACCTTTTTAGTAAATTCTGTGTGTGTGTGTGTGTGTGTGTGTGTGAGAGAGAGAGAGAGAGATAGGATATAGATAGTATAAAATAGGGAAAGCAATACCTGAGCAGTGCTAAAAGTAAAAAACTAGATGAGATCTCCACAGACACGAGTTGTGAAATGACCTCCCCCCCCCGCCAAAAAAAAAAAAGAAGTAGTAAAGGGTTCATTTCTAAATTCCTTATAGATTACCTGGATTGACATATACACAAGGAAGGCCGAAAAGCACGACAACCGAAATGTGATAACAAAAAAGACAATAGTCTGTAGGAAAATAATAACTCTCCTCATCCTAGACAGAAAATACTTTATATCACAGTGCTCTTTGTATTGTCGGTAAGACCATTTACATAGTTAACATTTTTGTTAAAGAAAATGAGTTTTCACAAAGGATGAGGCTTAAATGATATCCATACATGGGTGGCAGGGCCCAGGTGGCACCTGATGCTACCTCCCACTTCCTTTGGCTGACCATTGCAATGATGTGGTGGTTGTTTTATATGTATACATAGATCATGTGACTTGATCCTGTGGCTTACAGCCACACCATGTTGAAACACTAGTTCCTGTATGACCACCAAAGCTAAGCAATGTTGACCCTGGTCATTACCTAGATGAGTGACTACTTGGGAATACTATCTGCTGTAAGCTTGGATGTGCAGATGTAGCAAAACCCGTATCTGACCATAAGGAAATGGTCTAGGGTTTTTTTATGTGCATACAACTTTGTGTCATGATCTAATATTAAAAAATTTTTTCCTGTAAATTTGAACCTAGCATAGGTCACATTCAATTAGTTAATCACAGCAAAGCCCACAAACTTTTTTATTTTTTTTCTTCTAATAAGTATTCTGCTTTTCAAATTAAATTAATCTTTCATTCACCAGTAGTTTAACATTGCCTGAGGAGACACATTTATGATGTTGAAACATATAATTGGCATTATGTAGTGATTTTTCTTTTTTTAATATGCTAAAATAAATAATATTGAGCCCTCCCCCTTTAAATTAAATGTTACATACAGTGGAATTGTACTCCATTTGTTTTCATTTTACATACATGCATGCATATATATATATATATATATATATATATATATATATATATATATATATATATATATATTTTTTTTTGAACAATCAAAAAAATATTAAAAAAATTAAAATTTTCAGGCACACTGGTCTGTATATTAATATTGTTTTTTTTTTTTATTATCTTTATTAAGTCCCTCAACTAGTTTCAGCCAGCATGGCAATCATCAGAAGAAAAAAAATTACCTATAGGAGTGAATGACTGTTTCTGAAGAAAGTGAACTTATCTGTAGTTTTCATTTGTTTCTTATCGTTAATTTTGGTCAGTCTTTCTGTTGGTTAAATGGCTTCTTTAAAGTTGCTTTTAATATAGAAGATGGGAGATTCCTGACTTTCAGAAATCCTTCCTTGGTCATTTTGACAGTTTTATTGCTTGCTGGGAATGGGAAGTGTGTGTTAACTGTATGTTATCTTTTATTTCTTGGTGTGTGTATGTTTGTTTATATACATATATAATGTGTGTATACATTAGACACACACACACACACACACTGTGTGTGTGTGTGTATATATATATATATATATATATATATATATAGTTCTAACCATGTTTCAAAAATGGAAGCTAAAAGCTCCGAATTTAATTTTGTAATTAAATTAAAGACATTAGTTCCATTTCATCCTCAAGCAAATTTTTTCATTTGAGGATGAAATGAAACTAATGTCTTTGATTTAATTACAAAATTAAATTCGAGCTTTTAGCCCATTTTTGAAACATGGTTAGAACTGTAATTAAAAAAAAAATATTTTAAATCAATTAATTTATAATATTAATGCTCTGTAAATTTACATTGAGCACTATTTTGTAAAAATAAAAATATCTATAAGAACACGGATTATATATCTTACTGTTCTTTCTTTTTATATATATATATATATATATATATATATATATATATATATATATATATATATATATATATATATACACACACTGTGTATGCTCAGGTTTTTTTTTTTTTTTTTTTTTTTTTTTTAAACTAAAAAACTGCTACACTTATTTTCAAAAATAAACAAATGCGCAATGTTGGGTGTAATGAAAAGGGGGTGAGGAGGATGTGAAGAAGGAAGAAGAACTGAGAAGAAAATCAAGTGTATTGTAAATGCATTGGTGGTGGTGGGGGGGTAAATTTTATTTTTTTATCCAGCCTCATATGCAAAAATTTTCTGATGTGTGAGCAAGGGCTTAAGATTTCAGATTTCTGGTTTAAAAAGTTTTTGGGATCTGGAAATGTCATAATCGCTAAAATTTATATATATATCTAATAAATAAATATAACTTTTTAATTTCAGGTTTATATGATACACCTTTGTTGGCTGGTCTTCCTGAGAAAGTGCGTAAATACCTTGCTGATACTGTACCATTCCCCAGCCGTTTGGGCTATCCAGAAGAATATGCTCAACTTGTACAAGCCATCATTGAAAATCCAATGCTCAATGGAGAGGTTATACGTATTGATGGTGCCTTGAGGATGATGCCTTGATCTTGGATTGCTGAAATGGATTTAGAAGTTTTCAATTGTGCTTTCACTTTTCTCATCCTCAATATAACAATTCTTAACCCATATCCCCTGGGTGTCAGTTTCAACTGAAGCCTTCTTTTTTTTTTTTTCCCTCCTAAGTTTACAACTGAAAAGAAAATATGACCTTTTTAAACAAAAATGGCCACAATATATGAAAAAAAAAAAAGACATCAGCTTAAACTAATACCAAGATGATATGAGCTAAAGATTAAAGGCATCTTCATCTTGACGTTTGTAAGGAATGGATACTTAGAAATTAACCAATAATAGAAGTCTCATAGTTTGACTATGTTAACTATTAATTGAAATGTACATAGCAGTAAAATTGAGCTTTTTACAATAAAGAACTCTATAATTTTCTAAAAACAATGTATAGTTTATTTACCATATTTATTTTTTTTATTTATTTCTTTTATATTTTTTTTTTATGTCCCAACATACTAATTTTTGGAATGCCCGAGCAGCACAGTTAAGACAAAATAATTTGCTCTTAAGAAAACTCTATTTGTAATAACTTGTATTTATGGTAGAGGCTGATGATCATTGTTAGCACTAGTAATTCTTGCATTTAAATTTGCTATAACTTTGCAATGTTTCCTCTCTCTGCCGTAATACTGTGGATTTTTTTTTAAACTCTGTTTTTTTTACAGGAAAAATCTAGTATTGGTTACAATTGTAAACCTGATTACAAACCCTTTGCTTGTTTTTAAATAAATTATCTAAACAAGAATAGATAATTAAATTTTCCTTTTTTTAAAATTGGGTAATATGCTACGTAATTGAAATTTTTCTCTTAAAGAATTCAATATCAAATGACTTTTGCTCTATTATGATTTGGTTCAGTCTTTCATGGGATCCTTTGAATTATGTACATTTCAATAAGTGAGTCTAGTACTGGAGAAAGGGGGGAAGCTCTGATTATCACATTCTCTTATGTTATCAATAATTGATGGCTTGTGCTTGGCTAATCTTGCAAGTCTATATACTAATAGGCAGTTTCAAGTGATGTGATAAGGATGTTATTAAGATATATATATATATATATAAGTTGTTTTGTTATCAGTAAATTTGCCAAAATTCATATTTATTTATTTTTATTTATTGAGTACTTTTTGAATATTACTAAATTTGTTTTCAAGAATTGTTTTGTGTATATTTATGCAACTGTTTTTACTTACTTTATTTACATTATTCAGACTGTTATCCTCATTTTCATTGCCATATTCACAACGTCTTGGCAGTTGTATGCTTCGGCCTTCTTCAGGTGATTGGAATTTCAAACCAAACCCTTTATTTTGTCCACTGGGGTAGATTGTTCTAATTCCAATCACTTGAAGAAGGCTGTAGCATACAACGGCTGAAACATTGTGAATATGGCAATGAGGATAACAGTCCGAATAATGTAAGTAATCATAATACCTCATCTGAGAGATATAGGGCAGATAATGCAACTGTTTTTTAATTCCAGTGTCCTTATATTTGATGCAAACAATTTCAAGCATGCAAAAAAATCTGTTAATACAAGTTATTTATGAAAATTATTAATATTGAAACATTATCTTATCCCTTAAATTTAAAAAAAAAATTTTTAATCTAAAATGCAGTGAGAGACAACAGTCTCATGAAGTTTTAAAAAATAGTCTGTATCAAGAGAGTTAAATTCTTATTTAGTAAGCATAGATTATATGTGGCACAAGGCCAAAAGTATGGATCACTCAGTGAGCATTGAACCCACTACTCAGTTGTAAATGATCTAGTGAGACAAGCTTGCTAACCATTAAACCCTGTCAAATTACCTGATAGGGTTAATTGAGTCATTGTTAGTTCAATATTGTTATAGACTAAGCTAAGGTGTGCATTGTCCGGATTTTTCAGTTTTTGAAATCAGTTTTATAAAAATTCTGTAGTTTATCTGACTTTAAAAACTACAATTTATTTTAGCTTTTATCTTAACCAATTTAAATTTTGTAAAATGATTATTAATGTTATCCAAATTTAAGTTAGCCATTTCACAATATTTGTTACATTTGTATCTGAATACTTATGGAAAGGTGGATTCTTTTCCAGTGTTTTTTTTTTTAAATGACCAATTTCATGCTTGACTTACCAGTGGCTAATAGGTTACAATCTAAATGTAATGGTCTACAAGAAAACGAAACTCACCTACTACACTGCAAGTTTCAAGGACAAACCTATTCAGAGCTTACATATTGGTAACAATTTCTAACTAAATCATAGTGCCTCCACTACACATTAATGACTCCAATAATTCAACTACTGATTCAACTATCAGCTACCAGTACATTCTTGGAAAAAAAGACTTTACTGTTCACTTTATTCAGAGCAAAGTGAAAAGCTTAACGTTCAAGGTTTAAAGAATATAAGCTTTTATTTGTTACTATCTGAAATAAATTTTTGCATTTTAATACTGAATTACCTCCCTTATATTTCTTTGAACCTAGTCTGATCACATATTCTCAATAAATGAAATTTAAGTCAATATTTGTGATCAATAAGACTTGATTTGTGAAAAAATTAAAAGAAAGTTTGATTTTCCTGATTTTGGATTTTAAATATTGCATGAAAAATATATTCTCTAAAATGTAAATTTTTTTTTTTTTTTTTTTTTTTTTTTTCTGTTATAAGAAGTTAACTTCTGAAAAAAAAAAATAATAGACAAATTTGATTCTTTTCAGATTACATTTAAGAGCAATATAAGCACAATAACCTAATATAGTAAGTTAAGTCATTTAAAAGAAATATAAAAAATATTTGGCCTTTTTTAAACAATTTCTGGAACTAGGAGTTATTATTTATTTACATTTGGACTAATATCCTCAACTTTGTCAGAATATTTCAGCTGTTATACCCTCTTAAAAGAATGTAAGAGGGTATAACAGGGAGGGAACAAGAGAAGAGAGAACGTCAGTTCTCTTTTCCTAGTCACAGAAACAGGCCCATACTCAAAACTTAAACATGAAATTTGAAAGGATTTAAACATGAAGCAATATCGCAAAATACAATTTTTAAAAAAAAAAATTTCCTTTTGTGCACCTTATAAATATAAGGCAAAGATATCAAATAAATATATGCTCTTAAAAAGCTATACAATGGAATCTTCAAAAAATAAAGAAACTTTGAGAAAATAATACAAAAACTTTAAATAAGCTTGAAAATACTCTTTACAAGAAAAAAAAAAGATGAAATGTGCAGAATGGAAGTTTGGCAAAACTTTTTGAAAATTTGACCACAGTTCTGTTCGCAGTTTACACATTTTTTTTTTTTTTTCCTCTTCTGTGAAGAGAAACCATCCCACTCATCAAATGGTAACTGCTAAAAATAGCTTTTCCTTTTTGAATCTTATTTTTCTGCCTTCAGAATTAAATTCTCATGCCTTGTCTTCTGACGTGAACAGTGACAATGGTGGTAAGCCATATCATCCCAGGACACTGTGTGGTCTATTTCTTTTCTCAACAGTAGACTTTAAAAATTAAGTGTAAAAAAAATAAACTTAGGCTTTTATAATATGTATTTATCTACATTTTTATATATTGCTCTGTAACTTACATTGACCTCTCATTGGATTAAGTTTTCTTTGGAATAATCCCTACCAATTAGAAACTGGTATTATATATATCTAGAGAGAGTGGATGTTAACAGTGTGGTAGTGGTGATTTTTTTTTTGTTGTTTTTTTTTTTTTTTTTTTAAGGTGATGGTGTGTGTTCAATATGTAAACAAAGATAAAAGCATAGAAAAAAACTTGTTTTTTTGCTATAGACGTTTATTTCTTTTATGTTGACTGTATTGAAATAAAGTTAAAAGGTTTCTTTAGTATGTCTGTTTTCCTTTTGATTCTGAAATAATTTATGGGATGTAAAGATACAAGTGGGTAAACATGGCTGAGCCCAAGTCAGCCTTGTGCTAAGTTGGGAAGACTAAATATGTATATTTTTCTTTTTGGTTCTGAAATAATTTATGGGAAGTAAGGCTGTGAACGGGTAAAGCTGGTCAAGCTCAAGTCAGCTTTACGTTGAGTTGGGAAGAGCAAACCTCTACTTTATGAGTAGAGCTGCTAAAACACGTCCAGCAATGTTGTCAGTGAACTGGGGAGAAATGAACATTCTCCAGTGAGAACACTATTATCTCATGCTTACACATCTTGAAGCCAAGAGGAAAAAGAGGAAGATTCTGCCCTTTCCAGAAGTGGAGTCATAAAATTGCACATGTGACCAGAAACCCTTTTTGGTTTCTTTCTGATATTCATCATGGGAAAATTAATATATATAAATTCTATAATATATACATATATTTTATATATGTTCAGTGTTTATTGGAAACCACTCAATATCAGTGATAGAGCTAACATTTAGTTGAATGGATATGAGTTTGTGACTCTGGGTTTCATGCTTATGTGATCCTCAGACAAACTTTTGTTTTAAAATTTGAGACTATGTCAGTGTTTGTGTGAACCATAATACCTACACCCATATGCATATATGTCTCTGTGCATATGAATGTCATTCCAAAAACATACACAAACAATCAAACAAAAGCTGACATAAATAGTTTCAAATTTTAAAAAAATAAATCAGTTTGAGGATTGCATAAGCATGAAACCCAGGTCACAAACTTGTATCCATTCGACTAATATATATATATATATATATATATATATATAGTTATTATTTTATATATTGATTTTATTTCATTTTTTCTACAAGAGTACTGTTTGGTTGTTGCTTGCCCTGTTTCCTCCAAGTCTGGACTACCCCTGCCCAGGAATTGAACTCCAACACTAAATTCAAGAATCAATTCTATGGGCAGTAGAATGAGAAATATCTATCTATGGAGACTAAATAAATCAAGTGTTCATTTTGAAATTCTCTGAAGGTTACTTGGATAGAATGCACAGTAGCTGAAACATTGTA